ATGCTGCCATCACGGCCTGTGCAGCCACCGATGCTGCGCACGAATTCGGGGTTGGGGATGACTTTACTTTGAACGATCGGGGGCTACAAGTAGTTATGACAGCTATATACTCTTCACATCTTTCAAAACTTCCTACATCATCCTAAAAAAGAACGAAAAAGACACCCAACTAGAATTTGTTGCTCATTCTTCTTGGCTTTCCCATAGGTTTTTCCCTTTTTTCTCATCTTTCTGTTCCCGAAAGGAACAGCCCGCGCTGGGCCACGTCTTTCTCTCGGCCTCCGGCCAGCGTTCCGCGCCGTCGCTGCTGTGGGCCCTGGCGGAGCTGCGGGCGGAGGATCCGGAGGTGATCCAAGCGGCCTGCAGAGAGGCGGTGCAGGCCCTGGGTGGCACAATCAGTTGATGAGCGAACTGATTTGCACACCCAAATGCATGAAATGATTGTAGATAAAAACTACCCGGATACCAAGAAGGTGTGGGGTTGGGTAGCACATGAGTAGATGTAGATAGTGGCCGCAGACAGCAAGTGGCATCTCCCCATGGACCCATAGGCCCACGGCCCAGGGCTCCCCTCTCAACCAGGTCCTGCGGGAAGACGCTGCGGAACCGGGCGACATGGCGCAGTTTCTCTGGTGCCTCTCGGTGTTGGGCGCCAGTCATCCTCCAGTGCAGCGGGAGGTGGCCAGGACGGGGGCGGAGGGTGTCAACGCCTGGGGTTCCTTCCCTTTGCTAAGTAAAGATACACACACCCATGTGCAGTATCGTTACACATACACAGATATAAACAGACAAAACCTGGCAAAAACAAATGGCGAAAGCCTGGCGCCCCTGAGCCGTTCCCAGGAGGCTTCAGCCGCACCTGGGCACCTTGCCGCTGCGCCAGCTGGCCGAGGCCTCTGTTGAGGCGCCGCTGCTGCCGGAGATTCAGGCATGGCAAACAGCTTGGGAAAACCCGCTAGGGGTTGGGGTTCAAAGCGGGGATGGGGATGGATGGGTGGTGAATTTTGTTTGGTGATGGGCCAAGTTGCTGGGAATCTGACCACTTGTTTTCAATCAGAAGTTGTAGGTAGGAACCAGCCTCCAAATTCCTGAAACGCAAAGAATTTGAGTCGGATGATGTTGGATGGACCCTCGCCAGACCGCCTTGCTTCCGCGGCTTGCTTCGGAGCGGTTGACCTTGGCTCAGGGTGGCCGCTATGCAGCCTGGATTTCAAGGAGATGGACGATAGCAAGCATTGTTGGTGGGTTTGGGCACCGGTCCGTAATTTGAGATAGCTATGGGAAATGGCCCATTTGTGGATAAACCATAGCCAAAAAAAGTAATTGGAAGGTATTTGTCAAGGGTGTAGAAGCGGTGAGGGCAGCTTCAAATCATGGTTGTTTTGGCTCAGGTTTTGGGCATCCTCCACTCCGCCCAGCTCTATGGTCTCCTCTCCGCCCGCTTCCTCGGAGCCTGCGGCGCCGCGCTGCGGCGCGTGGGCGCCGCGCACGACGCCGCTGTGCGACGACGACGGCGGCGCGGCCGCCTTTGGCGACGGGGGAGCTGAAGGCGGACAGCCCACAACTGCTGCGCTCCCTGCCGGACCGGGCGGTGCTCTACAAGCCGGAAGGCTTGGCTTGGGCTATTGTTGGGGATATGTATGTGATCAACTATGTTCACTTCATAGGGGATTTTCGCGAAGAAACCAAAGGGTGGCTAACAGGGAATGCTGGATATCTAAACAACAATGCTAGATTACCCAACTATTACTGAAGATTTTCATCAACGGCAAAAGCAGGGATATCAACCAATGATGATCTCGCTCATGCTTTCTAGACTTTTGTTTTTTTCCATCTATCCTGGCATGATCAGCCTAAGTGACTAAGATTTTACTGAGGAGTGAAGATCAGCAACCAGATAGGGCACTCTTTGAAGTCACGGCATCACATTTGCCAGGGCAAGTGGCTCAAGTTTGAGTTTTTTCAAAACTTCACTTGCAAATGACATCAAACGACCATATGAGGACCAGGCACCACGTTGATAAGTTAAGATGAAAACTATGTGCTTATGCTCACCCGTCAATGGGAAGCATTTCTTCTCGAAGGCTGGGAGGTCTACGGCAATCACAGCGAGCGGCAGCTGGTGGAGTTTGCCATTGACGCTTGGGATTTCAATCGAATTCCAGCAGCTCTTATTATCCATCTGTCATAGCTGTCATAGCTATTGGACCGTCAGAATGGGGGGAAGTTCTTGTCCGCTACCAGCTATTTTGATGTGAAGAAATCAGGGTGCCGAGGTTTTGACGCACAGCCACCTCAGGACGTGCTGGGGCGGCAGCCCATCCTCTCCGATGCTGGGCACAACTGCGGCTTTCTGCATCGCTTGGACGTGCCCAGTTCTGGGCTGATCCTGGTGGCATCTACCTTTGAGGTGGGCAGGGCCCACATGAAACTGCCACCTCACTCCATATAGGTTGGTCCATACTATCGCAGCTCTGCATGACCAAATCCCAAGCTGACTCAGTAGAATTGTGAACCACTCCTTCAGGCAGATCAGCCATCTTCTCATGATCTGGTTCCATCATCTTACATCGTTACATCCATCCTATTCTCCACATTTCTCCACCAGGGCAGGTTGTCTCCCAGGCCTTCTACGACCTGCAGCTGCAGCTGGTCTCGGGTCAGCTGCTCCGGCACTACCTGGCGCAGCTCCACGGCACCTACGGCGCCTGGCGGCCGCTGGAGACGCGGCAGGTGCCGGGCCTGGAGCGACCCACGCGGTCCGGTGGGCGAGGGAAGATCTGCAGGACGGGAAGCTGGGAGCTTCTGAAGATTTCGGGGCAGCCTTTGGGGATTGTAACAGTTTGCCCAAAATTGACTAATTTGTAGATGATTGATTTACCTACCAAACATGGTCACTTTCCACAGCCATGTTAGATTGCCGGAGGGTACATTTTGCAGTTTTGCTTTGGGGAATTGCAGGCATTTTGCAGCCTTCTGCCGTCAGGACAACGGTCCAGTTGCTGCAGCGTTTCATGCATGGCGGTGCTGCCCTGAGCCAAGTCTCTCTGCAGATTGGCACGGGGCGAAAGCATCAAATCCGAAGTCAACTTGCGCACGTGGGGCATCCTGTGCTGCGGGATGCGCTGTAACTTGCTTTACAACATTCATCATTCATCCAAGTTTTATTTTTCCCACCGTCAACTGGGGTGTGCGCAGGATGGTACGTAGACAGACAGTCGTGGTCTTCGAATCAGTATGTATGAATCATTATGAATCAACCGATCAACCAGAGTTTATCACTGCAATCCAGGGTTGACAGTACAGTACTCCATTCTGACCCATAAACCCATACTGTAACACCCTAAAACCATATCACATATCATACCTTAGGCACCTCATGACAGGTCACCAGTGGGCTCAGGTATAGCAGCACCGAGACGTTTGAGGCTGACGCTGATCTGTGCCCCAGGCTGGGGTGATGGTCAGTGTTTGGGGAACAGTGCATTCGGAACTATGAACAGCAGGATGTCATAGGCTGTCCAGGGAAATTAGGGTCAGCATAAGCACCAACAGCTTCTGTTGGAGCACGACCTGGCTCAGGAAATGCCATGCCTGCTGAGATCTTCTAACCATTGTTTCTCATGAATTGAACGAAATGGTAAATGGCATTGCGAATTTTCGCGTTTTCTGAAATCCAAGAGTCAATTTAAATCGTGGTTATGCAGTGGTTCTGTGCACCCAATAGGTGATGTTGTTTTTGAGGACCATGTGATCTTGCCATACCCAACTACTATGGCCAAACCAGTCTTCTGATTTCTTTTCCAAGGTCAACTTGACAGGAACCCACCTTTTTGAAGTCTGGTAGTTCTGTAGAGTTTCCCCCAAGGGACGGCAGGAACTGGTTGCACCGTCAGCGGCTGGTCTTTCACGATGCGGCGGGGCACGCCTGCGACGTCTTCTGTCCGCTGCCTTGGGATCTCAAGAACTCGACCGCTGGGTGGCGCTGGGGAAAAAAGGCTGCCAGATGGCTTTGTCATGCTTTGTCCAAAAGTAGGGGTTCTGTCGTTGTCCAAACAGCAGAAAAGAACAGAACAAGTTTCTTCCCAATTACGTGCATCTATTTCTGGAAATGGGTGGGCCAAGTGCAGAGGTGAGATGACGAATAGTGCCCAATTCGGGCGACACGACTTTGCACCTCTTTCCATCCGAAGTGATACAATCTCAAACTCGACCTTTGAGATACTGACCCATAGGCCAGTGCTGCACCCGTTCCCCTTGACATATTTCGATGTCAGTCCTTTTTGGTACCTAGTTTGGGTGTGGTTGTGGGTGTTGGGACTGATTTAGTCTCCTTGTGGCGCTTTTCCACGTCGCCTGTCTTCATCCACTTCATGTCAACCAAGTCTGGGGGCTCAGATGTCAGCAACAACGAGAGACTTGTTCGCGCAGCACTTTTTGTATGGCATGGAGAAGGAGGTCTGGGTCAAGTCAGCACCACAGGGCCCACACCTTTGGTTGGCAGGAAGTTCAACCATCCATGTTGAGGTTCCAAGAATTTAAAACCCATCTCCCAAGTCAGATCTTCACGGTTGCATTCCGCATCGCGTGGCCGCAGCCTTTGTTGCCTCGAACGGCTGCTTCGCCCCCCGTACCTCGCCAGGTCGCTGCGCCATGTCCTCCAGTGACAGCCTCGATAGCTTCTCGGTGGTTTCGATGCCTGGCTGCGATGATCCCATCACCCAGCTGGAGCAACACATTGGATTCGTAGCCAGGTCCTCAGGTGTTCGACTTTTTTAATAGAAGTCTGGACACTGTGGAAAATCCTGGTGGAAAAGGATTTCCCAAACCACCATGATATTTGGGGACAGCTGGAACATTGCAGTTGCATCTTCTGATCCTTGTCATATTGTGGATTATTCCTGGCATTTTTCCACCATTTTCATCCAGAGACACTTTCCCCATGGCCTAGCTGATGCGTAGCAGCTGCCGAGGTCGCGACCTTTTCAGATGGGCATCAAATGATTAAGGATTCCATGGAACAGGATCAGATCAATGCGAAGAGCCTCAACAATATGGAAGAGCACCTGAGATCGCTGGGCGATCATCGGGCTGCAAACTGTCTGGCCTGAACCTCAGCTGTGTCCAGAACAGCAGACAGTGGACTGCATTTCAAAAACTTCAGCGTCTTACAGTGGTTGGTACAGACATGATTTGATGTCTCTTTGCATTCTGTTCCTTTGCCTTCTCAGAAGGCATTGGCACACATACGCACATGCAGACAGACAGAGATGCAGATGCACACATCCTACACACTTGTTCTCGTGGATGGGCAGAGCCTTACCATTGGACAATGGCTTGTGCTTGCTTCATCACTTGGCTTTTAGGAGGTCCTTCAAACAGGCTGGACCCATCGCGATCTCCCTGCATTTTATGTGAACTGTATTATGTAATCTTCCGGCTTTCTTATTGCAAAGCATGTGTCATGAAACCAACTTTTTGCTGGCTGCTCTCTGTGTGTCCTTTCTGATAGCTACTTTTTTTGGGCGTTTGTTTTTTTTGAAAGTCTGCAGAGTCTGCAGGGCCAAACAGTTTGTAAGTCGGTTCTGTCAGAGTCTCTGGTCCTTGCGCCACATTTTCCACATTTGCGGAAGCTGATCCCCGATGCACTGATAGCACCTAGGTCCAACGCTCCAAGGATGCCTTGGACCATTCCCTCAAGCAGGTGGTGCCCATGCGGCAGCACATTGAAGAGATCGCCCAGCTTCTCAACGAGGTGGTGGATCCTGAAATTCAGGCAGATGCTTCAAGCCTCACTTCCATCATGCTTTCTGTGCAAGACGAGTCAAAAGCTGCATGTGCTATTGCTGCAACCGGCACTGAGAAGTTTCAAGCAATCACAAAGGAACTCCAAGATATCCAGGCTGAGTACCAGGCTACTGCAGCCGAAGCCAGGAAGCAAGTTGAGGAAGCTCAGGCGAACGTTGAGAAGTACAAGGAGATGGCTGAGATGAAACGAACTCGCCGCAATGCCAGTGCGGCTATTTTAGCCGTCAGCAGCACAGTTCCAGTTGCAAAGACAGGGGTTGCGGGTGCCTGTCTTGCTGTTGGTGCCGAGGCCACTGCTAGCATCCCGCTGATCGGCCCAGTCTTAACCACCACAACAGCAGGAGTTGCAGCTTTCAACCCTGTCGGAGTTGCGGTTGGGGTCGGCTTTGGTGCAGTTTTTGGGCTGATTGCCATCAAGTCATATTTCGACGCCAACGATGCCTCTTACCATTGCCAGCAGGCATTAGAATCAAAAGCAACAGCCGAAACGGAGGTAGAGGCTAAGCAAGGAGTGGCCGAGAAGGCTGAGGAAACCGAACAGGTTGCCGGCGCCATGGTGGTCAAAGCCAGAGTTCACAAGGAGATGTGGGGAGGGGTGGCCCAATCTGCGGAGAAAGCTGCTACCACATTCTCCACTCTGAAGAGGATTGACCCTACAGGGGCTCGCCGCAAGCGGTTTGAGGACAAGATGAAGGCATATGCTGAAGACCTGCTGTACTTCGTTCAGGCCATTTTTTTTGACCACTCTTGTGTTGGCATTCTTTTTGTCCAAAGAAAAGAGGATGAAAATGGGATGTCTCAAGTGTCTCAATGACTTCCGGTTGTTTTATTGAACTAGCCTGCGCCGCTGATAGGCCATCGATCAGTACCTCTTCTTCCTCTACAAGCAGGGCTTCTTCCCTCCGACCTTCCGCATTGAAAATGCCATGGGAAAGGATAGGTTTCTGAAGGTGCAGAAGGAGTTCGAAGCCACCTATGCGACGCCAGCGGCTCCCGGCCTCAAACATGAGGCGACGGAGGCAATGGAGCCAATGGATGGCTAGGATTGGGGTCGATTTCGCCGCCTGCTGCCATGCTTGCAGACAAGTGGGCAGTAGGAGGGCTCTTGAAATTTTGACCTTGGCACATCCGACACAGGGAAGATGCCAACGTATTGAGCCGAGCTCGAACATGGACAGCTTGAGGCTACTAAGAGTCTGGTATGAGCCTTGAGGACCTTTTCGAGTTGACAGGCATGGAGAGAAAAAGAAAGTTTGATTTCAAGTTGATTGGGTATATTGTTTGTATATTTGTATATAGGGGTAACTTTCATTGTACTTGCCATGATCCGTTTGTTTTTGGACAATCAATTGCCATGACATGACCAAAACTGGCCCCGTTGGGCGGACACAGGATGAACGGGAGATCTTTTGGAAGCGGCTGTACGCTGATTATATCTATTGAATCTAGTGCCGGCTGCAACCTCCCTCCAGTTGAAGCAAGATTTGAAGAGTATTGTGTCTTTGTTCCAGGGGTTCAGCAAGTGATGGGTTGCAGAGCTGTCACATTCACTGCGCCGTGCCAAGGTTGAGAAGACAAGACTGTGGTGGTCCAGTGATCGTCTTGAAGGTCGGTTTAGAGTTGAGATCTCTACAATTTACGGCTGAGCATGTCAAATGTGAAGATTTTAGTAGTGACATGCGGGCCGAGAATCGCACCACGAACGCTGCAGCCATGCATGTGTGTTTGCATACATATGCATGTCTACATTGTCTACATATATTCAAGTTGATGCAAATACCTGCGCGGCAGACCTCTGAGCACATATTGATGATGATGCAATCTATTGCGGCGCAGTTTGCCGGGGAGATGATGTAACTACCCCCTTACCCCCTTTGAAACCCCGGTTTAGTATTGAATTTTATAAAGTTTGATGGGATTTGATATTTGGGGGGCGGGGGCCAGCAAGTTTGGGCGTGTGTGGGAGCTTCGCTTTGGCTTTCGGCTGCTTGGCCTTCATCCCCTTCATCTCTATCTCAGTCGGGTTGCTCAGATTAAATTGTTGGCAGGTTCTTTTTTGCAATTGTTGAGCACTGGTTGATGGAGTTTAATGATTTAATGGTGATTTCATGTGATACCCCATTGGTGCTGGAACTCTTGGATATGGCCTGGCCACATTTCTCCAAGATGAGTCGCCTTTTCATGTACCAAGCTCTTGCCACTGCAGTGTCTCGGTCCGCCCCTTGGGTGTCCATTTCCCAATGTCCGACAGATCCGACAGCCTCAGTGATGTGGCGACCACTGCGAGCGCATGGAGCGACAGCCTCGGCAGTTTCTCCATGGTTGATGCTTCGCCCGGGGATCCAATCAGCCAGCTGGAGCGGCACATCCAATACGTGGCTGGGTCCTTAGAACATCTAGGAGCGGTAGAATCCGGTAGAAGAGAAAAGCTTCCAGACCTTGCAGGATGCACAGTTGCATGACATGTGTTTTTTGAAGAACGAAATGTTTTTGAAGAACGGGTGCTCAGGTGTCTGGCTTTGCTGATGGGAATCACGTTCAGATGATCAGGGAGGTGATGAAGCAGGACCAACTCAATGCAGGAGTCCGGTCCCAGATGGAACAAGATTTCAGCGCGCAGGGTGCTCACTGGGCAGTGCAACGACTGGTCAGCAACCCAGTTTGAATCTTTGGGGTTTGTCTGATTCGCGCGCGCATGGGTCAACATCTGAGACCGCGGGGCTAAATTTTCTGGCATTTCTGGCAGTACAGCATCTTATTTTTGGATACCCAGTTTTGACCCGTTTCTGCATGCTGCGCCGTGTGAATTTTGGAGAAGAGTTAGTTTTCTGCTTTACACCCGCGCCTCTCAGGTGCAGCATTCACACGATGCCTTGAGCTATTCTTTGGAGCAGGTCCTGCCCATGCGACGGCACATCGAAGACATTGCGAAGCTTCTCAATGAGATGATGGATCCTGAGATTCAGACAGACGCCATAAGCCTTAAGGCGGTCATGGAGGACATGCACCGCCAGTCAGACGCTGCATTCAAAATTGCAGCTGCGGGGAGGCGGAAGTTTGAAGTTCTCTCCGGCCAGCTCCTGGAAATACAATCTGAATACCAGGCAGTCCTAGAGATTGCAGAGAAAGAAGCTGAGGACAGTAGCGAGGTTGCCAGGAAATGTCAGGAAGATGCTGAGGCCCACAGAAGGCAGAGAGACGTCAACGGGACAGTGTCGGCCATCTCTGCAACTCCAACTGTAGGATGTGTTGGTGGTGGGGTGGCCCTCCTTTCTGGTGGTGCAACCTTCGCTTCAAGCATCCCTTTGCTCGGTCCAATCTTGACCTGCACAACGACAAGCACAACTGGCTGGTGGATTTTCTCCACAACTGCCACGGTTACAACCTTCAACCCTGTGGCGCTTGGGATTGGAGCAGGCCTGGGAGTGATTTGTTGTGCTGTGGCCTTGGGGACAGGAAGCCTTGCTTCTTCGGCGTCGTCGGAGTACCAGCAGGCCTTGGAAAAACAAGAGGCAGCTGTGAAAGATGCAGATGAAAAACAGCTTGTGGCCCAGCAAGCAGTGGAAAACAAGGCACTTGCGGATTCCATGCTGGCGGAAGTCAAACGTCATGAAAGAATGTGGATGGGTGTCTCCGCTACTGGTGACTTAGCTGCTGCCACTTTTTTGGACCTGAGGATGACTGATCCCGCACGTCGTCGAGAGAGGTTCAATGAAAAGATGCATCAATACGCTTCCGACGTGTTGCATTTTGTTCAGGCCAGCATGCATTGAAGCAGTCTATGAATTTATTTTGTCATTTTGATACATTTGATTCTTTTTGCCTTTTGGCTGTAACAAGGCATGAATTTGATCCTGGACTTTCCGGCCTTTTTCACCGCTTGAGCCAGTTTTCGCTGTTCCTGCAGGCGATTGACGAATACCTCTTCTTTCTGCACAAGCAGGACTTCTTCCCTCCCACTTTTCATCTTCAGCGGGCTTTGGGCCAAGAGAGATTTCGGAAGATGGAGGAGGATTGGCAAGCTGCTGCAGCTCAAGTGGCACAGTCGACTGAGCAGTCGGAGCTGGAGACAGGGCATGGCCGCCAGGATGAGATGCTTTGTTGTTAGGCCTGTTTTTTCTCTGCATCACAAGTGTGCAGAGGGCACATCATTTTCCGGTGCTGGTGGGCACTATCTAGCCTGGATGCCAGCATATGGAGCCTGAGCATGCAAACCTTAGACTGCACACATAGGCATTAGCTTGAAACGCGGCTATGCATTGATTAAAAAAGACATTTGGACAATCAAAGCGGTTGTTGCAGAGCATTGTGCAGACATGCTTGAACAAATGCGGGCGCCCTGATTTGACCGGCCTTGCCAAGGTTGGCCTCTCTGCAGTGATACTTTTGAAGGTTGATTCAGGAAGCCAAGGGTTTGGAGGAAGCGACTTGGCCCCGCAGTCCCATCCTGGAGTCTGGTACAGCTTTGAAAGGCTGATCTTTCACCAGATGCATTTCTGCTAGGGCTGGGGGTGCAATCAGAGTGGTAGAGGCTCCGTTTCATGGCCTTTTTTCCATAGAGGATGAACGGAGAGCTGTTATCCAATCTTATCACCTGGTTGGTCATCCGGCTGCACATCTTTTTGAAACGTCTTAAGCAGACAAGTCACTGAAACAACGCTCGGAGCAGGATCTTTCGCCTATGTGGGGATGAACGTGCGTTTGTTTTCGGATGAAAGGCTTCACATTTCACTGCTAGGTTTGCTTCTGGGAAGTTTTTGTTTTGGAGGTGTGTTTGCAGCAAACCTGGATGTTTTTCATGATGTCATTCTGCCACGCGTTCTTCATCACCTTCCTATCAACTCTGTGGGGTTGCCCAGATTTGTTGCAAGGGTGAGACACTTGTTGATATTGGAGCTTTTTCAACAAGGCATGTTAAACGGGAGTGAACGGCAGGCTTTTCAGAAGAGGAGCCACCAATCAGTTTTTCATGTCGCCGATTCACCGATTTAGCTGACTGTGTGACCACCGCAGCTGGTCACTTCTTCATTGTCAAGATGTTCATCAATTTTTAGTCGCCATCCACCTTGGTGGGGTGCTTCCGTTTGGGCTTCAATCGCATTGCCATGTTCAACGACCTGGGTCTGGCCACTGCTGATGATGCAATCAGCCTGCTTGAGCATCACATCGAACACCTGGCCCGGTCCTAAGCATCCCAGAGCGGGTCCGGAAAGGAAAGAAAGCGATTTCCAGAATCATTTCGAGATTTTGCTGTTGATGTACAATGATTTCTGAACTTGTGATCATGAACATTAGGTTTTTTCATTTTTTTTCTGACCATAGTGGACCCCAAAATCCAATGGTTGATCATCGGAGGTTCGTGGCTTTGCTGACGGACATGAAGTCATCAAGATCTCGATGAAGCAGGACCGAAGCAATGCAGCCAGCCTCGCCAAGATGGAACAGAAGTTGAGGGAACTGGGCAATCATGGGGCTGCGAACCGTTTGGCTGGAAGCCCAGTTGCTAGTTTGTCTCTTGGAAGTCTTTGGAAAATAGATGAACATAGGGCAATCCAAATAACATTCCAACTAGATCTATGAAGAAAGTGAGTTGCATGTTCTGATGGCTCTGCCGAATGAGGTAGGCCATTTTTCGCCACTGCCTTTCTGCAGTCTTGACAGATGGCGATGGAGAGAGAGAAACAACATTCCAACCAGGACAGTCAAATCATGTCAAATCTATTAATAATAATAGGTTTGCAATTAATCAACCAGGTTTCTGATAATCAAATCTATTAATCAACCAGGTTTGCACTTCGCCTGAGATTTCGCTACCTGCGTTTTGTATCGTTTTGATTTGGGTCCTGTGCCAAGGTCAGCCATTCAAGAGATGCATCGAACCATTCATTGAACCAGGTCCTGCCCATGCGACGGCACATCGAAGACATTGCGAAGCTTCTCAATGAGATGGTGGATCCGGAGATTCAGACAGACGCCATAAGCCTTAGGGCGGTCATGGAGGATATCCGCCGTCAGTCAGACGCTGCACGCGGACGTGCTACAGCCGGAAAGCAGAAACTTGAAGCATTTGCTGGTCAGCTCCTGGAAATACAAGCTGAATACCAGGGAATAGGGCAGAAGGCAGAAGAGCAAATTCAGGTCAAGGCAGAGAATGCTGAAGAACATCACAGGATCGCTCAAAGAAAGCAAGCCCAACGCAATGTCAGCGGGTTTTTGTCAGCGTTCGCCAGCGTAGCACTTGGAACTGCAAAGGCTGGGATGGAGGATACGCTTTGTGCTGGTGGTGTCAAGTTGGCTTTGGGCTCATATCTGACCAGCATGAGCGCATGGTTCAGCACGACAGCACTCGGCCTTTGTGGGATTTGCTGCGTGATTTCCATCAAGTTAGGTTTGGCTGCCAGAGACGCTTACTCCAAGTATGAAATGGCCTTGCAATCACAAAAGGCAGCTGAAAGAGAGGTCGAACAAAGTAAGGGCCTGGTGGAGAAATCCGAAGAAAGCCAGGCCTCTGCGCATGAAATGGTGGCCACAGCCATGGCGCATGAGAGTCTGTGGAGCGGTGTGTCCGCTGCTGCCGAGTTGGTTGCTCACAGCTTTTCTGAGCTACGTCAGATAGATCCCACCGGTCTTCGCCGCAAGAAGTTCAATGAGAAGATGAAAACATCTTCTGCGGAGCTGTTGAACTTTGTCCAGGCAGGTGAGGGTTTAAAACATGAGCAGTGGCTTGGGTATGATTCAAAAATGAAGGGACCATGGCGATGGAGAGAGAGAGGGAAATGGGCACCAAGTTGAATAATTTAGCATCTTTAGCATCCATCATTTTTTTGGGTCAAACTTGGGCCAAACATTTTTGAGCCACATCCGTGATGTAACATGTTCGGACTCAGGCAGCATGATTGTGAACCATAACTTTCCAGCCTTTTTTGATCTTTTTTGGTCCCTTGAGCCAGCTTTCGCTCTCCCTTTAGGCGATTGACGAATACCTCTTCTTCCTGCACAAGCAGGACTTCTTCCCTCCCACTTTCCATCTTCAGCGGGCTTTGGGCCAAGAGAAATTTCGGAAGATGGAGGAGGATTGGCGAGCCGCTGCAGCTCAAGTGGCACAGACGACTGAGCAGTCGGAGCTGGAGCCAGGGCATGACCGCCAGGATGAGATGCTTTGTTGTTAGGCCCGCTTTTTCTCTGCATCACAAGTGTGCAGAGGGCACATCATCTTCCGATGCTGGTGTACATAACTCGTAATGCTAGAACCCAGGATTAGTAACCCCCAGTTGCTGCACCAATTTTGATAGCAACTTATCACGTTTGGGCATACCCCCCAATTCATATAATGGTCAGGTCAGGGCCGATTATAATCCGGGGTTGGCATTCGCCCGGCCACCAGCATATTGAGCCTGAACTTAGAACTGATGGGGCTCCGATGCATGTGGCTTTGCTGTTAGAACCCTCATGAATGAACACGAAAAAGAAGCTGATTTGCGAATTTCATTCTTGTTGCTGGTTCTGTGGCATGACGAACACTGATGACTAGCAGTATAGTGGGATCCGTTGAGACCACCAACTACGTCCACCCGCTGTCGTGTCACCACAAGACAGTTTTGATGATCTTGGTTCATAGCAAGGTCCTGTCCCAGTTCTTGGAAGCCAGTTGGACTTGCTTCTATACATTTCCAGGTTGCTCAAGTTGCGTTAATGTGAATTAACCAAGCAAACATATTTTCATGAAGAACTTCAATTGAACACGTCCAGTGGAACGCGGGTACGGCAATGTTCCATTTTTTCTCAAATTGTGTTTGAACTGGACATTCACTGCCCCGTGCTGAGGTTGAGAAGACAGGACCGAGGTGAATGAGTTGCGTCTGCATGCCGGCTGATCTGCCCTTTGGCAAGTTCACTTCCCCGATGATTCACTAGTTCTGGTTTGCGGTCTGGGGTTTCTAGTTTGGAATCGTATACGCCATATGAAGAGATGTTACTATTCACTTTTTCTTGGCATGTCCGTGGCCACACCGGGCCCGCCACATCGGCATTTGTGCACCTCATAGCCTTGGGCGAGCGCGGCGCAATGATGCGGAGCAGATGAAGCTGCTGTATGCCCTTGGGGATGCAGTGAGACACTTGGGCTGCAAATTGATTGTTTGGGCAGGGTGCACGGATTGGGCAGATCATGGCGTATGCGTGCATGTTCTGAAACTGAAACTGTTTGAGATTGTTTGAGGTAGTTGACTTCCAGAGAATATCAATTGCATGCTGTATCATACTGCTGTAGTTTGTGTTGATCATTGGTTTTGGGACACAATACAATTACTCCTCTTATCAGTCCGTTGCCTGCAGCTCTTAGCTCCCCGCTGGTCATGGCTGGCTGAGGTCATTTGCTGGATGGTTTGCCCATCACCTTGAGCCAAGCGGTCCCTTTGCCCTCATTGCCATTGTATTGATGCACTGTTTGATGTCTGTTGACAGAGGTGAAACTGGTTGATGTCCACCCTGGAACTCGGGCAAAACAGGGATGAAACATGACTTTCCAAACAAACCGCGGCCAGTATTTGGGTTCCAGCCAGTTTTTTTTTGGGTCCGCCAACTCAGTAAGTCAAATCTGGCTCGTTCGTGTTAGACACATGCAGCTACAAATCGACCACCTTTGTATGATGGGCCAATCGTGGTTCCATGCCGCAGCTTTAAACCGGATACTGTAGCAGCCAATAGCAGCCTTTTGTTTTGGCTTTGGATTGATGCACCTCGTTTTCTATGCCAATTTGTTTGAATGAGTTTTGTCTGAGTCACTTGAAGCTGACGCGTGGGATAGCATCAGCTTCAGCACTTACAGTACAAATGATACTTCTGGTTATGTATATAAACAAAATAAGATAAAATAAGCAGATAAAAAACACAAAATAAATAGATAAATAAATAAATCAACAAATAAATGAATTCATAATTAAATAAATAAATCAAGACATACATTACGCATATATATAAATATAAATATGACATTCATATTCGCATTTTCAATCAAATTAAGTTGATGGTATATACTACCCATTGGCACTACGGTCGGCGCATCATGATCCCGTTCGCGGCGCGAGGTGAATAGCACCGACTCCTGCCAATATCACAGTGGAGGGCACGGCGGCATCCGAGCGGCTTGGCGGGTTCATCCAGTGGGTAGGAGCTAAGGATGGAAAGGGCTATCTTCCCTATGAAAATAGGGAGCCAAGGAGCTACTAAGAGGTTTAGTGAATCACTTTTTCTGTTTTTTGCTGAGCTCCTTCTCTTTCATGTGGTCAGTGAAGTGATGGTCAGTGAAGTGACGGCTTCCTTTTTGTGCCTGGATTTCTGGGATTGCCACGTGTGGCAACCCTTTATGAAGCCGCGAGATTCAATCGACGAAGCCATGAAGCACAAGATTATGTTGAACTAGTAGTACTTAGTTTGCTACACCCTTTTCATCTTGCAGCCTTACAGCCGTTTTTTGGGTGCTGTACCCACCGGTTGTGATTCCAGATCTGCAGCACTGCGTGTGGCCCATGCCCAAACGAAAGACTATGGATCATACCTCGGGGCTATCCAATCGATGAGAGGGTTCCCCACCATTTCAACGATTGCCATGACTCTCCTGCAGATCATCCGGCGCCGAGGTCGTCGTCAGCAGCGACAACGTCCGGAGTTTGGTTTTCGAGGACGATCCAGGCAGGGGGGAAGCCGAGGTGGACCAAATGGGGGGAGATGATAGTGGGGTTCTGTTTAACCCAGAACTCATGTTTGAATAACACCAGCTCCATTGTTTCAAGGATTGGGGCACCATTTCTACAAGAATATTGACATGCATTGAGTCTGTCACACTCCATTCTCCTGATTATTATCCAAAACGTATTATATTTTTATCCTTTTTCTTTTAATTTTTGGAGGTTTTCGGTGCAGTTGTTTGCCACACCGTTCAAAGAATGTCCGCACCACCATGCAAAACGAGATAACCTCCCTCAGCCCATCTTGTTCCCAAGGCTACATTGAGGCATCGGTGGCCTGTGTCTTGGCTCGAACCCATTGCTTCCAAGGGTTTCACGCGGATTGTGCCTGGCCTTTGTTGAAGGGATCTGAGTAACATGCAGCCGGGATCAAGTAGTCATGAGTGACACCTGGACTCTTGACTCCATGTACTTGTTGAGCACTTTTTGTAGATGACCTCCCCAACGTGTAGCTTGAAATCTGAAGATTCGCATAGCCAAGGCACTGGCAGCAAGCCGCACCTCCTGCGCTGGCCCTGGTCCAAGGCGCCCCAGACGTTGAGCTGCGAGGACCCTGTGGTGCAGGAGAAGTTTCGATGTCAGGTCAGCTGCACCTGGGGGATGGCGGTCGGGGGTTCGCTTCGAGCGCCCGAAAGTGGATCGCCTGGAGCGCCCCCAGAGGGCTTGATGTGTTTTGGCACAAGTGGAGGGGAGGAATTCTATGGATGGCAATTGGATCTATGTTCCCAAGGTCTGGAAGAAGGTTCAACTCATTTTTTGAAGCATTTCGGGGCAGAATCCAGTGCTGAGCCCCTCCTGCAGGCGCCCAATATTGACAAGACGGACTGGCCAGTGCAATGGCTGCCGTGGTTGGAAACTTGCCACTGGGATGAGAAAAGAACCACCATTGAACCGCAAATGGAGAGGTTTGAGTTTGAGACTAAGAATTCACCTAGTTGGCCTCTGAAGGTTCAACATCTGAAGCATTTCATACTGTTCCCACATTTAGAAAAGTACCGACCATGATCCTGATACGTCACCCCTAGTTTTGGACAACGTTTGGTTTGGAGGGTTCATCAGCCTGCAGTCTTGTTGGAAATGAGGTTTCACGGAAAACTGGGGTTGCAACAAATCAGATTTATCAGATTTATCCCTTTTTCTGGCCGCAGTTCTATTGACAGAATTTCTTAACCTTGGACCATTTTCGAGATGTGGAATTCTTGAGTGCTCCCTTTAAATTACCATCTGGTTATTTAACATAGCCATGGAAAGATCCATTTTTAAGAACGGTGAACTGGTGAACCATCTATTTCTATGGGCCATGGCTTCCATGGCTATGTTAAATAACCAGATGGTATATGTACTGTATATAGTATATCTATATATAGTCCATCCACTGCTTCATCATGACTAAATTAAACATGTTTGGCATGATGAAGTTTGCTGAACCAGGTCGGCTTGCGCCCCAGCGCATCCTCTTCCTGGGCCTGGGAGGCAGCGCAGCGCAGTGGAAGTTGGGCACCCCTCCAGACGACCAATGGTTAGTACAACTATGTACAACTGGTAAGTGGTGTGAGGGGCTATATTACTAGATGTACAATTTATACTTATTAGTTATTATCTAGACGATTTTGGTTATTTGTTATTACGTTATTACCCATTTGGTGGGATGAAATTCAAATGTCTAAAGTACTTTTGGGGAACTTTTGTAGCTAAACGATGCTTTTCCCAGGGGTCAGAAGGCACCTATGTTGGTCCCAGGCGTGTCCCCCAAATGGGTTAAAACTCTCAGGCCCGTGCAGCCCTCAACCCACCAGTGGCCAATTTACTCGGCCAAGCAAAATCATATTTATGTGTATTTGAATATCCTTTTTAATATAAGAGTATAGTTTAATGTGTTTTTTTTCTCCAATTTTTTTTCATAGCCCAGCCGCTGGCAGGTGGCTACTACCAGAGCTACCTCTACAACCAATGTCCCGGCTCCACAATCCTCACGGTGGAGAGCAACCCTACCGTGGTGGCCGCTGCCCGGGACTTCTTTGGTTTCGAAGGTGTGGTGGATCCTCACGCCGCACTGGCATTTCGGCCTTTCCATTGTCCAATTCCATCCCACCCTGACATCCAACAATATAACGCATAGTTATACATGTCCATGCATCCCCATGATATATCCAATCATCTCATCCCCAAACATCCACCGCCTTCTGCTGCAGGTGATGTGATGCTGTCCGATGCAAGCACTGGAATGAAGCAGTTGCTGAAGTCCGGGGCAAAATTTGAAGCTTGGTGGTGCCGTTGGGGCTGGCAAGGGTGGTGAGCTCTTAACCTATGACCACCCCTGACAGATGCACAGTGATCACTGCAGCAATCCTTACGAATCGGGAATTAGCTGTGCACTTAACTTGAATTGGCCGTGGCCTTTCCCCGTTCATGGTGGATGTTCTATGACTTCGCCAAACTAACTTTGACTTTGCGCGGTTGGCTCAGGATGCCGTCATCAGCGACATGGGCCAGCGGCCGATGGAAACCCATGACCTGCGCCTGGCGCAGAAGCTCCTGAGACCAGGCGGGGATCGTTAAGCCACCAGACAGGGGGTTAAAGTGCTGCAAAAAATGCTGGTAGGATTTCCTGAAGTTTACACATGCTTAGCATGTATTTGGATTATTTGGCTTTTCCCATAGAATCTCATAGTTTCCATATATTTCCCATATATTTCCCATATATTCCACCAACAAATTGTAGGATTATCACTCAACCTCATCCCATTCCGCTTCACCGGAGCTTCAGAAAGGTGGCACCTTTCTGCTGCAGTGGTGCTACGGCGGCCTGCGGAAGCACGAGATGAAGTTGGACAAGATGATGGAGACCCGGCGCGAATGGCGTTGGGCTAAAACGGGGATCATCCTTTCAAAATGGGATATGGGTAGATGACTGGGATGTAGGTGTCTGATATATTCTAATTACCCTCTGGTTATTTAACATAGCCATGGAAAGATCCACCATTTTTAAGAACGGTAAACCATCTATTTCTATGGGCCATTTTCATCCATTTTCCATGGCGAACTGTTAGTCATAACCAGGTTGGGTATATTCTAATATATCTAATATCATATCACCCCTTCTAATTTAACATATTTAACATATTTAATCACACTGGACTCCGAATTCCATGGGGCTCCCGACGGGGGTCGTCTCTCAGGACTTCTTCATCGACGTCAGTGCGGCGGCGGATCGGGACGGTGTCTTGGGATGGGATTCGAAAGCGGATGCCACCCGATCGAGTTTTCGCCATCTTATATTACTTGTTATCTGACTAGATTCCGAATAGATATTACTTGTATATTACTTGTTAACTAAATAGATTCTGAATAGCACGTGCCTCATTACGACTTCGGTGGGGCACCAGGTCGCTGCACGTTCTACGCGGCTGAGAAAGCCAGTGAACCCACCGAGACGGACCCCGCGGTCTCTGAAGCGGCCTGAAGTCGCCTGGGAGTTGGTTGATGACTGGTACGTGCGGAGGGTTTCAACATGCAAACGATGTAAGGATGCAAAGGTTCGAACAAACTGGCGGATGCTAGGTGATGCTAGGTGAATGATGTGCATAGGTGCAGGTATAGTATCCCACGCATGTTTGGTTTCGCATCATTTCGCATACACAAAGCCATATGGTGTACCCGTTTACCTCTGCAATGACTTCGCACGATCAGCACCAGCGGTGCAGTCGCACCTGTACAAAGGTGGCGGTGTCACAAAACCGGTCCTGAAACGCGGGGCCGGCGGTGGCTGACGTGGTTTAGTTTAATGCGCGGTGAAAGGCCATGTCCTGGGTGGAAGTCTTTGTGGTGTATCCCCGGCAGCCAAGTTGCTACTGGTTGATAAATAACAGGGGTCGCCCCGAAAAATGCAACACATGGCTCTCAAAATGGAACCTTGCCTCTTAACCGAACCAGAGGGGTCATACCGGTTATGCCTTGCCCTACGCAGGTGTGCGCCTGGATGTTGCTGCTGAAAATTCAGATCTTTCAAGTAGCGGTTGGGGTCCTCAGCAAAGGAAAGTGGGGATTCGGTCACCGCAGTCACCCTTGCCCCAAGGATGTTTGGGTTTCAGGGCTTCTTAACCACCAGCAACGACTAATCTTTTTAGAGGGGGGGTCACCTTTTGGGGGGCCTTGACTAGGAGGAGATTTCAGGTTGCCATATGTTGAATGTCTTGTATCACTTGATGTTGCCGGAGGTTTTGGGAGCGAATTTTGGTAGTTTTCTTCTGATTGGATGCCTTGGCTCTTTTCTTCAATTTCTTGAGCGTGCTTGGCCTCATTCAGGGAATGCAGTGCTGTCCCACCAAAACCAGCAGAGTCAACCCAAAGTGATTGACCCGTAGCCTTTGGGTAAACCTTGGTTCCATTCGGCTTCATTCTGCTTGTGGACCTTCTCAGGCCCAGCAAAAGATGGATTTTTCCCTGGGTAAAATGGGCTGAATCCCGCTTTTTTTTTCATCCCACATGCTCAAAATCCCGAGTTTTGATGCTAAATCTTGAGGACACCTTGCCGAACCTCACTCCGGAAGCCATCAGCGACCCAGCAGCTTGGCCAATAGCTGGTATTTTGCCATTTTGATGGGGATACTGTGTGTGTGTGTGTATATATTACAATAATATAAATAGATAAATACATAGATAAATAAGTAAATAAATGTATATATACATATATAATAATATAAATAGATGAATAAATAAATAAATGTATATATACAGTATAGATGTAAATGCAAACATATTTGCATCAATCAGACTAAAGAAGAGTTATATAACTAGCTAAAAGAGTTGGATTTGTTGCAGGGGACAATGGCTGTTGGTTTCACATATTTTGTTATTTTCCTTCCATCTTGCAATGGGATGATCCAAAAATGAGCGTCCTATGTTTCAGGGGTTCAGGGCTCAACCAGCTTCGGGGAACCTCAGGAGATGTTCTACCCTGTAGGCTTCTTGGCCCGGGAGCCGAGTGGTGTCCATACAGGGTGGTACTGTACCCCTCAGCGAACCCCAATGGTCCAAATGCTTTGGAGAGGAGTACTGTCTATGCACAATTGATGTCTATGTTCCCGTCATTTGTCGCTTCACTCTCACTGTTTGTTGCGCATATAAATCTGCATTTTTTTGTCCAATCACAAGTCTTGTGTTCTCGTGCTTGTTGCCAAACTCCCATCATTTTTGTTGCTTCAATGGCTTAAATCCTTCAACTCCGCAAGGCAAATGGCAGCATTTTGGTTGCTGAAATCCGTGGTCCGAGGTACCCAACATGGAACTGGTGATGGGTTTGCAGGCGCTGCTGGGCCTGGTCAGTGGCCTCAGTGGCCTCAGTGGCCTCAGTGGCCTCAGTGGCAATGGTTGCTCCAAGCTGTTGCAGGATGTTGCAGGTGATAGCCACAGGTAGACGATAGCCACAAGAGGGGTTATATATATATATATATATCATATCGGCTATTTTGCCAAGCTCATGCCTCATTCTTGCACCGAATCTGGAGCCAGAATTCCTCGCCCCGAGATCACCTGGCTGCGGGTGATGAAGTACCTCACGCTGTCGCGGACGTCCGGAAGTCCTGGGATGGGCAGGCAGAACTGCAACAAATGTGGTAAACCCAGTGGCATCAATCCCCAATTGTGGCTGGTTGATTGAAGTTGATTGGTTGATACCCACCCATTCATGGTTGATTGGGGATGGTTTATTTTTGGTGCCAGTTGGCATTCTCCCTCTATCGCACCAGGTCACGCAGTCCTGACCCTGTAAATCATTGAACTCTCTCCGTTGCCAGTCCTTTCCCAATCAATTTCGACTCAGGTTTCTACCGTTCGTGCGGGTCTTTGAGCGATGCTTCATCGCCACAGCCTCGTTCAAGTCATGATTCAGCTACGTTTTACCTTCAAGAGACTCAGATTATGGGCAGCTATATCATATACTGATATAATTACTGTAGTTTTTTTTTGGGGGGGGGAATCGGGAATCGCCATGCAGTTGCTATGGGCCTCCCAGTTTACCCAGATACCCTCACATACGGCACCGCCTTGTGAGGCCTTGATCAAGTACTCTGCCCTGCTGTCCGTGAGCCTTTTCGGTTTTGCCGTGGGGGGTCTCAGCCGTGCCAGTTCTGCAGGGCACCTTGGTGACATGATGCGTTTTACAATGTCAATATAGATGCACCGGTTTGCAAAGTTTGACCATGTTCTACAATCCTTTACAGTCCTTTTGGTGACCTTTGCAGGTCGCCATCTACATTGGCTTCGGCACGGAGGCCCCTTGGATGATCTGTGGCTGATGGCTTGGTAGGAACCAACTTGAACCAACGGGTTAGGATGGTTTAGGCACAGATATCCATGGATATCACTACATATCCATCTCCGTTCTGATTTTTCTGGCTGAACTATCCGACTCCTGCTTTTTTTTTGGGGGGGGTTCATTCAGAAAGGACATGGCAAAACATTTTTTAGACGGTTGCTGAACTTGGATACACCCAAGCCCCCCAGATCCCAGATGGCTTCTGCTGAAAACGGCTCAAATGCAGGCCGGGATCTACAACAGCATTTGGAGCACTTTCGTGGGGATTCCCGGCCAGTTGGAATTCTGGAAAATTGGTTGGTGTCCGTAGGATATAAGTAACTTGCAATTATGGGTGTTTGGAGCCGGCAGTTGGTTTATGTCTTAAAGATTTTAAAATTTCATATAAAGTACTTCTATTAAAATTTTTGGGGCATGGGATGATTTTAAATCTTCCAACTTTATATGATCATAAACCATTAAATTTCATCATTTGGGGCATCTTTCCCTGGGGGGATGGGTGGCTCAAGCACTGATCGTCCCAACTTTCGGAGCTTCCATCCCTGGATACTCCTGTTTTATTGTGCCCTTTGGGTCGCAACATCCCACATTCCCATGATTTTGCGTATGTTTGCGTCCTATACCTGGATGATCATCCCACTTAGTAACTGGTCAATTGAGCCTAGTGGCCTAGTTTGTAAGTCCCCATTCAGTGGGGTTATCCCAGTGATCAATGGGTGATAACTATAGTTATCCTCCAAGTAGGTTCTAACAGCTGGTGTCTTGAGGTGGCTGTGGCCACAGCGCCTGCTGGAGGGGTGGATTTGGGTCCTGTCATTGCCGAAGAGCCCAGGGGCAGGGGCCTGGATGGGAAGGGGTGATTCTGTGATCATGATACAGTTCACATGACATCCACATGGTATTTCCACGGTATTTCCATGGTTTTCCTATGGTTTCCCATGGGTTTATAGGCACCCCAAAATCTGATGAAGCCTAAGGATGGCAGCCGGGTTTAGAAGTGGTTCAGAGTAGCTGCAACCTGTGCAGTTTTTTTTTGCGGGCCAAAATTAGGTACCCCTCGATGCGAACCAATCGGATGGTCCCATGATGGATGAAACCATCCAGTTGGATGCAAGTAAGCATGTTGAAACATATGAATACCCCCGGAAAACTAACATAACTATGGAAAATCACATTTTTTTTGGGGTAAATCAACTATAGAGGGTACATATGATAGAAAGCAAAATCCTACAAGAAATAGTGGCACATTACTCTATGCCATAGTCACAGAAGCCAATCTCAGTGGACCGCCATGAGGACAAGAACAATAGCTTGGTCCGGAGCCTTGGTTCTCCCCGGCTTCACACTTCACACATGTTGGACTTGGTCAAGTGATTTGGTCCAGGTGCACCTCATAAAATATTCATCCTGGCACTGAAAAAACCTGACCAGTGCGATTTTTTGGGGCTGAAACGCAGCGTTTGATGGTCTAAGTTGGGGCCGCAGATCTGATGAAAATCTGCAGGTGGCTCCGATCATCCTCTTCTCCTACATCATCGTGGCCCCTTGGCGACCGGACCGTTTTTTCCCCGGTCAAGGTGGACAAAGAGGGGGGGAAACTGGAGAAACTTAGGGGATCCTTCATGATTCCTATGGCGAGTTCCAGTGGAATATGAGTGGAGAATTCGAACCTGGAGGTGTTCGAACTAGTCATTGGGGCTTCTTGGGAGTTCTTGGTCGGCTTAGATCGTTCGATCCGTTCCCTGACATGTAAAGTTTCCAAGCCTCGCACATCGGGGAAAGAGGCGAGCCATAGGGGTGCCAAGCCACAAGCCAAGCCAGGTTTGGCCAAGCCATAATGGATCAAGAAGTCATAAGAAGTCTACTATTCCCCATTTGTGTGGCCAAACCTCAAGCCTTGCCCTTTCAATTGCTTTAAATCCATTTCAAGTCTCTTTTCAGTCTCGAAACACAGGTCTTTTTGATGAATTTGATGATTTTTGATCGATGACACTTCGTAGTTGTTGATTGCGGCCCAACCCAAACCACCACAGTTAACCTGTGGTTCAACATCGGATTAACAGGCAAACAATAGGTGAATCAGGTCAACTGGTTGATATCCACCATTTTATAGCTGGGAAAATCCACTATCAATCACCATTTTCAATAGCAAACTGTTAGTCATTACCAGAGGGTAACAGGTTCCCTGCTGTTCAACCGGCCCATGACTTGGCGACCAAGGTAGTGCTGCTGGTGCTCACCACCTTCAATGCCATTCAGATCGACTCCTACAGCGTCACCACGTGACGACCGGGGCCACGACCTGGGCCACCTGGGATCACTGGGGCCATGGGAGTCACGGCAGCAAACGCGGGAGCTTAAAACGACATCGAACCGTCTTCCAACTTTTGGGTAAGAAAGGTGGTGACCAATGAGACTTTTGTTTGTTTTTGGCACTGGTATAATAAGATTATGAGAACAAGACTTCTTTTTGAAAAAGACGATTTGTGTTCATTGAATCTGTAAACGTGGGAAGCGTGCTGTTGTATTGTTGCATGTAAGCCAAATCACGATGTCAAAGTTTTCTGATCATTGGAGGTGATGAACTAGAGATTCTGGTCATTTTTGGTCTCAGTTTCTTCTTCCCTGTGTAAAACTCATGGGTTTTCCCGTGCCCTTCTTGGATATAGAATATGAATTGGCTCTCATCAGATCCCCATCGGTGATACCCGCAATTGATCCTGATCCTAATTTGGGTTTGTCTGAAAATAGGGGATACCCACAAATAGCAATTTTAATGGGGAACATGGTGATAATCCATTGGAATATGAGATACACTATTTTCAGACAAACCCATTTAGATTACCAGATGTAAACCTGCCATTGTTCTGCCAACTGAAGAGCTGTTTAGGTACGAGCTGCTGACCCTGAAGCGACACAAAGCGCCAGGACCGAAATTTCTACTCTCGAAAACCACGACGGATCCAGTTTTTGCTGCTGGGGAATCATCCTTGGTAAACCAACATAACTATGGAAAGATCCACCATTTTCAATGAGTAAATCAACTATAAATGGCCGTCTGTAGTCAACGAAGATTGCGGAGAATTGTGTGTTTTAATCAAACATCAGACATAAATATCACAAATGGGGTTCCAGAATTCCAGTGAATTCCTCGTAGGTGCCCGCAATCATCGGCAGTTGTGGCTGCATCTATAATATAGTGGAAGGTCCCGAAACCCCATGTGATGTGGTGGGCAATCAGGAGATGAGCTGGGCTCGTACGTGAGGTTTTGATATGTTTCTGTGATAGATCTAGGGGCAGCCTTTGGAACTTCGGCCAATGCCCTAAAAGGGTGAAGGCACCCAGGAAACCACAAACCTCCTGCAGTTGGCAGAGGTTTGGGTCATTGGGGAACCCCAAAAGTGACCCCAACAGATGCTCTTTGAGTAATCAGGATCCGGCGGTGATCCAACTGTCATCTTCATTTGGACGTGCCCACCGGGCTCCAAGCGATGCAGGGCTCCTGGGGTGGGCCTAGGAAAGCTCCATGAAGCTCCCAGGGATCATGTGGGTAGACTGGGTCAATAGCAATAACATCCAATATCTGCAACTCCGAATGTCAACCCTAGATTCAGATTAATAAATAAATAAATAAATATATATATATTTATTTTGGGCATTCCCCCAAACATAATGGTAAATTACGTAAAAACATAAAAGTGGACAGACGCCTCTCCATTCGTAAACTGGGGTTTATGTATCTTGGGTTAACATGAACCTCTGGCACCGAATTGGGCTAATTCGCGTTTTCCTCCATGAGTTCCTCAAAAGCAACTGGGATTGGGGGCAGCCTGAGCGCTCGACCCTGAAACCTTGGTTGGGGCACCCATTTCTATTTGACTTTCATGATAGCATGGCAACCCCCACAATAGTAGAATTGGGTAGAATCCTAGTAAAGTAGCTGCAATGAATTCACTGTTCTACCTTCCTTCGTGGGTCACAATTGCTAATCAATGCCACCAGCTGGGATGAAATTTCCAGGTACTTGAACGCCCTCAAAGGGGTCAAGCTGGTTGGAAAGGTGTGGCTCTGGGTTGGTGATTGAGCTGAAGTTCAGCTGAAATCTGAAGCCTGGCGTTTTCTTGTAGGGGGACATTCGGGAATATATCCCAAAACTATTGATTACCCTTTGGTAATTTAACATAGCTATGGAAAATCCATTATAAATGGAGGTTTTATTGGGAAAATCATCTGTAAATGGTCCATTTTCCATAGCTATGTTAAATTACCAGAGGGTAACCCCAAACCCAGTGCGAATTGATCCAGGTTTCATGTTCCGCTGCAATCACTGCACTGACTGGACCATTTTTCTGGGGCTCAAACTTCTGGCAGTTCATGTGGGCCATCCGCATTGCCACCTAGAAAGTATTAGAACGCGGAACTTCCCCCTGAATTTTTGGATCCATTGACGACCATGAACTTGTCGTTGATCATCAGAAAGCCATGGTTGTGAGGGTCCTGGTTGGGCGGCCCTATCTCCATTTGTTCAAAAAGATTATCTTCCAGGCAATCCGGTGCTGCCCGGCACCAAAAAACATCACCAGGCTTCTGGTTTTGTTTGGCTCCAAGGGATCTGAAACAGACCAGGAAAGGGCAACCATGACACCATGAGAAGCGCCCAAGATAGCTGGATGAGTCATCACGATCTCACCATGACACTTTAAAGTGATGGTAATCAAGAGGAGTCACCCCAAAATCACTCTTTTTCTCATTTCAGGTGAGTGAAAAGTAACCATTGAGCCGGATATATATATATATATAATATATATATAACAGACATACATAATACATACACACATACACTAAAAGATGGCTTAGATTTTTAGCTGTGTCCCCTGCAGCGAAGAAGTGCAGCGAATGGTTTCACCGTTGCGCCATCAGCGCTTTTCTGGAGCGCCGCCTTGATGGAGGACGTGAAATACCACATCCTCTACTGGGAGGAGAGCTGGTGAAGATTGTGATGGGGAACCAGATTTGGCAATTTATCTTGTGGCAGTAATGGTATATACTATATGCTCAACTGCCAGATATGACAAGAATCCGAAAATGGGTGAATTTATTTGTGGCAGTACCAGTATGGTCGACACAACCAGAATGTTTTGAGACCATGAGACTGAGATCATGAAACTGCGCACTGTAACCATCATCTTCCACAGATCCTTCTTGAGGCTTTGTTCAATGGTTGAAGGGAACATCTACAGGAAAACAATGTTTTTTCCACCAATAACGAGGGTTTTCCTGCAGATTTTCCCTTCAAACAATCCAATGATTTGTTGCTTAACATCCCGCATCACCCATCAGGGCGAAAGTCCCCATGGCATCTTTCTCGAGACCGAGAGGGAGCCGCTTGAACCAACACACACCTTGAAGGTCACCACTCTTGAGATTGAAGTTTTAGACAGAGGGCCAGGATCATTCTTTGCTGTCCAACATGATGTTTCCGCATATCTTGACTAGTTTTAATCAAAAGAACATGTGGGAAAAAATCCTTTAGGAGGAGTCTTGGCCATCGTTTAACCACAGTTTTATGATGTTCCCTCCGAAACAGATTTGGGTCCCCAAAAATATGCCTGGTTTCCTTTAAAATCTGTAAAGAGATTGCCAAGAGGGTAAACTGCTTCAAACTGGTATGGACAATTCGTTCCTGTCTACTTTTCCCAGAATTGATGCAGGAGAATCCAAGGAAACCCTTATTGTTGGGAGATAAAAAGGAGGGTTTTCCACCAGTTTCAATCGTAGATTTCCCCAACAGACCTATTTGAGCTTTGCCAAGCCATGGTGGGCTTGAGGCTTGCCTTGTGGAGGTGACACTCTCACTGGGTAACATTCGGGGACAACTTTTGCCCTCGGGCAACGCGAGCCTGAAGAACCAAGTTTTGTTGCTAAAACCCTGGTGTTGTTGTTTGAATCCCCACGACTTGTGGATTTTCTGCATTCGAACCCCATTCAAACTGGTCAGCCTGTTAAATTCTTGCCTCAATTTCCCCATCGTTGTACATCTCCCCACCATCATACCTACCAAGTGATTCCCCTTCCAGTTACCAGCTGGATTACAACTCCCATCCAGCTGGTTTGCAACTCCCATCAACATCCATCAGCTACTTCGATATATCTACACTCAGCCAGTCAAGTTCGGACATTTCCCAGCCATGTTTGATTACCATAGGACTCTAGCTGGTTGGTGGTATCAAACATTTTTTATTTTCCATTTCACATATGGGATGTCATCCTTCCCATTGACGAACTCATATTTTTCAAGATGGTTATTGCACCACCAACCAGATAGTGAAGTTTGTTCGCCATTGATGTTGGAGAACGATGGGATCGCCACCGGGGATTCTTAGGCTCACCGCCCAGAGCCGGAAGCGCGACGGTCCCGGGCGCTGCTTCTGTTGTGGCCACGTCGCCGACAGCTGGAGGCGGGGGCCAGGGAAGGCCTGGACTGGGATTTTCCATGAAATAAACCATCCATTTTGATCGGTGGCTTCATCATCTTGGGTAATGTGATAGATATTCACCAACTATAGAATCCCTGGGAAAATAGTTCCATAATAATAACAATAATAATAACAATAATATTAATAATATATATTATATACATAACGTTCCAATTATATCCCAAGATAGTCCCATTGTTATCCCATGATAATTCCATTCATGTGGGTAAAACCATGCCATGTTTACCACCCATGACTGGGAATTGTAAACATACCATCTATAAAAATGGTCATTTGGGGGATGGTTTATTATTGTTTTACCCACAGTATGTATTGATATACCCTCTGGTTATTTAACATAGCCATGGAAAGATCCACCATTCTTAATAGGTAAGCCATCTATAAATGGGCCATCTATACCATGGCTATGTTAAATAACCAGATGGTAAATATTGATAGCTCAGCAGGTACATTGATATATTGATACAAATACTTGGGGAATATATCGAGTGATCAATGGATTTAGTGACGTTTAGCGGGCATAGTGTCTTATCCATTTTGTACAACCTTGCCTGCGAGAAGGTGCGGGCAACGTGGTAAGGCAAATCCTCTCAGAAGCATGGCAAAAACACATACACACACACACATATATATATATATACACACATACATGTGTATATACATAAACACGCACACACACACACACACCTCCCCCGTTTTGTTCGGAAATGATTCAATGATTCGTAAGTGGTTAAGTCTATCCCACATTCTGCTGCGATGTTTTCCACCATACATTAGCAGCTAGTGTTGGTAAAACAGAGTCATAAACCACCTCACGGGGGGTTCTGATTGGAGCTAAACTATGGGACAATTTAGCAGGGCAAAACCATGGTTCATAATGGTTCATGCTGGTTTATAGCAATTGCAAATTGGTTTCTGGTTATATAACATAGCTAAGGAAAATGGTCCCTGAAACTATGTGATTTATCTATTAAACATTGTGATTTTCGATGGAAAACAGTAAACAATTACATATGAGAGGCTAATCATTGATCCACCAGAAAGGGGGCATATACTGGAAATATAATTATCGTAACAAAATAAAACACCATGGTATACTCATTAATAATGTATGTTTGGGTCAACCATTTAGCATTTACTGAATTTACTGGGAAGATCTTAAACTATGATAATATTATGTGGCAAACCTAATGCCACAAACCATCCCATTCACCAACCATTTGGGGCATTTTACCTCATCTCAGGTAGGGGAACACCGGGATGGTTTAGGGTTTGCCGCATTCTTCTGTTATCACCCCTTAAATCACCATTGAACCCAAGTAAGTCCAAAGAAAATCCCAGTAAATCCCATTAAGTCACCTTAAAATCCCAGGAAATCCAAGTAAATCCAGCGAAATCCCAGTAAATCCAGCGAAATCCCAGTAAATCCTATCAAATCACCCTTAAATCCTGGTAACGCCGCTCCACGGTTCCTTGAAGACGGCCGTTTTTCCAGTTCGCCTCGTCAGGCACCGCATGGACAACATGCAGATCTCGTTGCGGCTCTGTGAGGATCCCAACGGGAAGCACTTCCGACAGGCACCCGGAGCCGCCTGGAGAGGTATCTTTTTCTTCAACATTTAATGGGATAATAGTGGTTTAATAGTGGTTAATAGTGGTTAATAATGGTTAATCATGGTTAATGAGATATACTGGTTGGTGGTTTGGAACATTAAAAAAAAATCTCAGTTGGGAATTTCATAATACTGACTGACTCATATTTTTCAGAGGGGTTCAAACCACCAATCAGGATAAAATATGATGAAATCCAGCACTTGGGCGATAAGATGGGATGAACGGGATTGGATTTCAACAACAATGGCGATATTTTCATGGGATATCATGAACATATTGAATTATTGTGGGGGTAAAATGATATTACCCCCAAGTATAATGTTCATGATATCCGTGAAAATAACTTGTAAATAACTTATGTATAATGTTTTTTCTCCCCAAATTATTTTTTCCTCTGGTCATCAAATGTGGCAAGTTGAAAATTCCCTACAAACGGAGGTGTATTACGCTGGGAGAACCCTCGAACCAAATGGGGGATTTTCCAGCGCGCCGGGTTTGATTAGAGGGTATTAAGAGGGAGGGATTCGGAGCTATCGGCCTCCATATTCCCTACAAAATGATTTGTTTATGGGGAGCGTTTCGCAACCGTTCCACAAATAGATTCCAATTTGTTGATATTTGTGGATTCTGGATGGTAGTTCTCAGATATTTAGTTCTCATGCTGTTCCTGAGATGGCCTGAGAAATGCTTTCCTTCCGTGATGTTTTCAGATACTTTTGGTATGGCTGAAACACCAATCAGGCTGATTTCTGATTCTATTGATGGACGATTTCAGCCACCCTCCCATTTTTTTTTTGGCCTGGGGCAAGCTCGAGAATCACCAATTTCTGTTGATGAAATCGATGATTATGCCACATTTTTTCTGAAAAGTGGGAAGCCACCTCTGGCCAGCCATGGGGACGCAGGATGTAGATGGCTTCCACCTGCTATCTCCCAAGATGGGAATCTCCTACCACCTGAGGCAGGGAACTGGACATGGCTGCTCATGACCTAGCTTAGGCCATGGTTCTCTCGAAGTTTGGTGACAAATGTGACAGATGTGACATGTGGCCCGCAGACGGCCTGCAGGTGTCTTTGAAAGTTGTTTTCTCTATGAACTATTAAGCGTCTTGGTTCACACCTGTGGATTATTGGTGACTTATTGGAAACCCATTGGTTATAGGTCATATACCCCCTGGCTGTTGCATATATAGTATCCTAATACCATACACATGGGTTGGTTACATGCACCACCTTGGCATACGCCAAACCCGCCATATTGCAATGGGTCCATCTCGATTGATCCGAGTCCGAGGGCTGGCCTGTTACCCAGTGGATTTTTTAGTTAAAACATACGTCAACTACCCTGCTGTTGGAACTGGTTACGCCCATCTATGGGAAATCAACACCAGAACAAGTGGTCCCTCCAGCGATTTTGGCTGGTTGGCACTTCCTTGTGGGGACAACCACGAATCACCCCATCACCGCCGCATTTTTCGACCAGTGATTTCGGCAACTACCTATGGTCCATGGACGAGAAGTGCCCCACCGAAAATCACATCATCGGCACGGCGCTGAAAGTCCTGAAGAAGGAGGTGTTACCAACGACCTGTGGGGTGAAGGTGTCGACATGGCACCTCGGTGATGAGGTTTTTCGAGTTCTTTTGGGGCATGGAGGATGCAGATGCCCAATTTTTTTTGCCCACCATAAGATCATTGTGGAACATAGTTTTGGTTTCTGATAGCCGTTATGAGGTGAATGGGGGTCCAAAGTTGTGAACCGTGGAGCTACGTGGGACCCGGATTGCGCCGAATTGGCAAGTTGATGGCGCTCGCCATGGTAGACATCTATGAGATTTCTGGCCAGGTGGGTGGTTCCATACAGCATGTACACACACAAACATCCATCCATCCGTCCGTCCGTCCATCCATGCATGCATGATGCACCCAATGTGGCCATGCACCCGTGCACCCATGCACACGTACACACACACACAGATAGATAGATAGATAGATAGATAGATAGATAGATAGATAGATAGATATATATATATATACACTTACATAACATAACAACATAACAACATAACAACATGACAACATGACATGACATGACATGACATGACATGACATGACAATGCAACACATTACATTACAGTACCTTACCTTACCTTACATCCATACACATGTGTACATACATATGCAAACACATGCGCTGGACATTTCTCGAGCGCCACTACCAGTGGGGCCGGCCAGGCCGGCCACCGACTAAGGAATACTGCAGAAGGCTGGCAGAGATGGCTGGAAGACAAGGCGAGGATAAATAGATTTTGAGAGGATGATAGAGCTAGCAGCACGGCGTAGAACCCAACAAAAGTCAGGAAAGGCGAAAGGATAGAAAAGGTCAAAGTCAGCACCAATCTCCGAGGGTTTTCTTACGGGGTACTATAAGTACTTGTGTTGTTTGTTGAACGGCAAGGTGACATCCATTTGGGCCATGCACTGCTTTGGGTTTTTCAAAAGTTTGCGGGGTGCACTCTCCCTGGAGTGGAAAAAGTCGCTGTCAGTGACTTGGGAAATCGGACCCGTCAGAGAAACATTATTTGCAGGAGGTGGGTTGCTCGTCGATTCCCTTTGATTTTTTCAAGAACAGGCCTCGTTGGCTTCCTGTCTTGAGTCCTTTTTTTGAGCCAACTTTCTGACAAGTTTTTCCTGGGCATATGGTTGTCTGAAAACAGGTAGCTCTAAACCCATTGCTTAATCATCTCACTATTAACATTGACCACACTTTTGGACAAGCACGGGTATCACCCCTTATAACCCAGTAAATACCACCATCTATAGATGTTCCTGGCTGGTTACCATCATCACCTATTAACATGTCTGCAAAAAGCACAACCTGAATCAAGAACACCAGTACTATCAATTAATCATCTTGGTCACATCATTGCAAGATTGCAAGAACTTATTTGAATATTCTGAATTGATAAGTTCACTAAGTTCACTAAGTATACAATGATCATACTCGTGATGTTGATATCATTATTGTTGATATACAGTACGTATATAATGTGTTGAATCATCTGTTGATCATCTGTTGATCGTTCTCACCACTGTTCAGCGCTCGATCTCCCGCATTCTCCCCGTCACCGCGTCGCGTGGACCAGGTCTGTGAGTTGCGCACGGGAGCCGAACAACGTGGCGGCGTGAGCGTAGGAGAGATCTGGGATGATGGGATGGTCAGCCCAAGGGGGTGATGGGAAAGTCATCATGGAAACATGAGTGACTTTTCTACTATGGTTTATGGTAGATCTAACGAACTAGTCAATGGGTGTCATTTCGTGGTTTATCAACATTTATAAACCAACTTACCACTGGGGCCCGACTTTTGTAATTGAGGCACTTTTCTAGACACTTTCATTTTTACTCATTTCTTTTCAGGAAATCATTGAGCCACTTTTGGGCACTTTTGTGACAGTGACATTTCCAAAAACATTGAGGTCTGGGGGTGGCTTGTGTGCCGGGTTTTGGAGATGATGAAACTGCGAAACCAGTTGCAGTTGTTCATCTTCATCATTTTCCGGGTGACATCGGGTGACATGGCGGTTGGTTGAAATTATACAGTACTTTTCGGGGCTGTTTAATTTATTTTTGATTGATATCCTCAGGATTTTATCCAAGTTGCCCTACTGGTGGGGCCATTGGAACTCATTTGGTGATCTTTTTCCTGGACTTCATTTCCCTTTTCGGCAGCTGAAAAACTGCCAGAGTGTACTCGTTTTCCAGGACTGATTTTGGATAAAGATGGCTTCGAGGCACAGACTTGGTTGGGAATGGATGGGTCTAGCCGAGTCTAGCCAGTTGGTGGCCCATTTGGTGAAGGTTGAATATAAAGTTCATGAACCCAGACATGCACCCTGAAGTATCCCAGCTATCCCAAAAGCTGCTCATTGTTTCCTGCATCTTCGCACTGAAAATCAACACCTTAGTGGATCCATGCCAGTCATCCGCCATCATTTCCGGGTTGGGATGGCCATGGACCTATTGCTACACACTGGACAGATCCAATGGTTGGCGCTTAGTCATCATTTTCCAACAATGGCCACACATCAATTCACACATGATTCACATTAATGTGGGTAAAACAATTTCATAAGCCATCCCCCAAATCACAAAAAGATAGGTGGTATAAACCATTCCCAGTCATGGGTGGTTTATGACATTGTTTTACCCAACATTACCCAATATTGTGAAACTCATTGATCAAAATGGATGGTTTATTTCGTGGAAAATCCTGACACAAATGGATGATAACTGGGGGTGCCCCTATGGCCCTATGGCTTAGGAAACCACCACATACCATAGTTGATTACTGGAAGAATCAATATATAATCATAGTTGTAATATATACCATGCGTAGTTTTAATTACTCATACCATAGTTGATTACACAATAGTATGAAGCTCGTTGATCATTACCATTTCGATGGTACCCTCTGGCAAACATACAAAAAACCATGGACAAACACCTTTTTGAGTGGGTAAATTAACGATTTTCTATGGTTTATAATGGAAAAACCTAGTAGAATGGATGAGAACTGGGGGGTACCACCAGGTGGGCTTAGGAAACCACCAGTGATCATGTTCCAAAGTCATGGCACCAGGTGGGTTCCTGTGGCATCTCCCATCCCTACTTCGCCCACGCAACGGAGAAGCCCATCCGGGAGATCCTGGTGGCGCTCGGCGGGCCGGGAGGTGCGACACAGGATGTGATTGGAGGTGGTTCTGTATGCATAATAGTGGTTAATAGTGGTTAATAGTGGTTAATAGTGGTTAACAATGGTTAATAATGATTAATGATGATAATCAATGATTAATATACTGGTTGGTGGTTTCAACATGAATTTTATTTTCCATAAATTTCCATTTCATATATGGGATGTCATCCTTCCCATTGACGAACTCATATTTTTCAAGATCGTTGAAACCACCAACCGGATATCTTATTTATCTGCCTACTGTATCTATCTGAGAATCTATCTATCTATCTGTCTATTTGTTCATTAATTTGTTCATTTGTTTACTTTCTGAATTATTCGTTGGATTATTCATCTATACATTTTTTTCTTGTATCTCTCTCTCTCTCTCTTTCTGCTATTTATCAATCATTGTTTTATTCATACACACCTTCATCCCACGCACAGCATCATGACATCACAATACCTGCGCGACCTACACGAACATTTCGAACCGCCAAGTTGGGAATATGATGAAACAATAAATGCATCAAAGAAAAACAGAAAAACACTTTACATAGTCCAAAAAGATCCAAAAAGCATTAGAGCATCGACCTAGGCAAACAATCCATAGCCATTCAGCAGCCATTAAGCAACCATTAGAGCATCTCTATTACCCTCTGGTAATCAAACATGACAATTGAACATCCCCGAACCAAATGGAGGTGTATATATAGCTGGGAAAACCAACGAACTAAATGGGCTTTTAATAGGATAATCCTCTATAAATAGAGGTTTTAATTGGAAATCAACGAAGTGACGGGGAAAATCCCTCATCAATCACCATGAATCACCACGCTTACCCATTATGAACCATTAAGTTATCACCATTCATCACCCATTATGAGCCCCTATTTAAAATTAAAAAAACATATAAAAACCATGGCATGTGTCCGGCACCACGTTCCAGGCATCGACGATGCGGTCATGAAGGTCCTGGAGCAGCGCGGCGATGGTCATGGACTCCACCTGGGCTTGATGCGAGTGAAGCTGCCAGGCCAGTGCCCTTGGTTGGTGTTTTTTTGGGCTGGGAAAAATGGGTGATTTCAGAATTTCTCATGGTGTTATAATAGTGAAGACCATTTGTTGATTTTTTGATGGCTTGATGAGATTGTTGGGTTGGTTTGAACATGGGCAATTTACCCTTGAATGGGGAACATGATGATTAAGTAGTTGATTTTCGAGCGTATCCCATTATCAGACAAGCCGATATGACTGGTAGTGCTGTTTTCTGGCACATATGATTTTCAGGCACACGCGCGCACGAAGCATTTGCAGTTCCCCAAGCCCAAGGGGTTTTCATTATTAACTATTATTTACCATGCTTTTCTATATCATCATTTCTTAACTATTATTAGCAATCATTATATAACGATTACTAACCGTTAGGAACCGTTATGAACCACTATGAACAATTCTGAACCATCCATCATTGACCATTATTCACCACTTTCCACACTGATTAAGCATTATGAACACTTGTGAGCCATTATGAATCATTAGTAACAATTATTCACAATTATCGGTCATTCTTCACCATGATTCACCATTTTGAAGCATTATTAGTCATCATTCGACATTTTGAACCATTATTTACCACTGTTAATCATGAGTAACCATTACTAACACCATTAATCAATTATTAGAAACCATTATTAACAAATTTTAAAACCATGATTACACGTCATTACCAGTCATAGTGCGCAATGGCGCCATGAATCGTCCAGGCGGCCTGCACCACTCCTGTGTGGCGCTGAATGACTTGCTGCAGTTCCATGACAAAGGCGGCCTGGCTGAAAGCCATGAGGAGTTTAGTAATAACCCACACACATACACACACACATATATATATACACATAGTAGGTTATATGATCATAGTTTCATTAAGAGTTAATAGTTAGCAGTAACTAGTAGTAACAAGTTTCACTAGTTCATAGTTTGGAGTTTGCTGCCTTTTGGCAGCTATAATCATGACTAGTTAGTAGTGATTAGCCATGTTATAAAGCATAAACATCATAAACCTTCAGCAATGTTATTGGTGGTTAGCCATGCTGTTATTATAAGCCATAAACTTTTAGTGGTTATAGTCAATTAGAATCATTGCTAGTTTGCACTTATAACTAACACATCGTAGCTTAACATAACTTAACAGCTAGAAGCTGAAAGATCACAAGCCATAAGTTGGCCTAAATATTATCTAACAATATTATCTAATTATTACCTAATGGTTTATAAAATAACATCATCTAACTATAGTTATTTCATAAAAATCCTCGTGACCGCTTTTTCTTCGCCATTCTTTACCGCAACTAAAAGCGGTTTGGAGCTGTGGCACCACCAAATGATGGATGGATAAATCTGTGCACATATATACGTAATATACCTTTATATATATATTTATACACAGCTATGTTGATCAGATATGTGTACAGTGTAGACTATGTCACATGTAGCATATATGTTTGTATATGTGCTGCAGCCATTTTAGTGCTTTCAGCTACCTTCGAGCTGACTGAGTAAAAGGTGCTGATCAGTGCTCAGGAGTGTTCATCAGATTTAAGAGCCCAAATTCTCTGTTCATGGTAGCGGAGCTGAGGTTCTGATACCCAGCTGTGAATGTGTAGGTGTCAACGCCGAGCTGCATCAGCTCTGGCGCGCCTACCCAGTGCCAACTGGAAAAGGTTGACACTCAAGCTCCTGAAAATCAGGAAACTCCAAAGGTACTTCCATAACCTGGGAGTGCATCTCCAACAGTATCCAAGGGTTCTCTTGAACCAGGTCTCTAAGCACCTGAAGAACGACTAAGGATGGCTCAGCAACAGCAGCCACCTCAGCAACCAGGCACTCCACCGGCACCACCACAAGCACAAGGCAACGGTCCCAACATGTCCCAGATGATCATGCAGATGATGGCCCAATTGACTCAGGGTCAGGCGCAGTTGAATCAGGCAATGACTGAGGCTATGAGCCAGCAGCTTCAGATCAACAAAAATGTTGAGAGATCTGTTGAGTACAAAGACAGATCAGAGTTGAAAGGCATACCAAAACCTGACAAGTTCAATGGAGCATCAGGCACTTGGGATAGTTGGTGGTACAAGTTTAAAACATGGGTTGAAAGTTGCCACAAGAACGCTGTGAAGATTGTGGCACAAGTCGAGTCTCAGTGTGACAAAGAGATCACTGAGTCAAGTCTAGAAGTAGACTTTGATGAAGGCGCCGAGCTAGTTTCAGCTCAGGCTAGACAAGCCCTCATATCATTGACTGAGGGAGAAGCGTTGGAAATTGTCAAGAACACATCTCGTGGTAGCCACTTTGGCCTAGAAGCCATGAGACGACTGTTGTGCAAATATGATCCTCAAAATCCTCAAGCCAATTCAGCCTTGTTGAAAAAGGTTCTGCATCCAAGTCAATGCAGTCTTGATAAGCTTCGAGAAGGGCTTGAGAGTTGGGAGAACTTGAAAAGAAAGTACGAAGACAGGAGAAAGAAGCCACTTGAAGATGACATCTGCAGGAGTTGCTTGCAGCAGATGTGTCCCAACAAGTTACAAGATCATTTGGACTTGCAGGCTTCGAGATTGACCACGTATGACCAGGTGAAAGCTGAAGTTTTGGCCTACCTTGAGAACGTCGAGACCAGGAAAGAGGCAAAGTCAGGAGCCGTTCCCATGGATGTGGATTCCCTTGCTAAGGGTAAGGGAAAAGGAAAACATGATAAAGGGAAAGGCAAAGGTAAGTCCAAAGGTAAAGACAAAGGAAAGAGTCAGTCTTCGTCTTGGTCAAACAACTCATACAATAAGTCTTGGAACAATCAGTCTTGGAGCAATCAATCTTGGAATCAGCAGTCTTGGTCTAAACAGAATACCAATGACTCCAAGAGCAAAGGCAAAGGTAAGAAAGGTCAAGACAAAGGTAAAGGAAAAGGGGATCAAGGCAAAGGTCGTAAAGTTGCTAATGTTGAGTCTGACAGCATCATCTGGTGATCAACCTGAACCAGAGATCACTGCGCTGTTTGCCTTGGAAGACACTATGCCACCCAAGTCTGAAGCTCGAGATGAATCTTCTCGTCGTGGTCGAAGCCCAAGACGAGCAAACCTTCAAGCACCTTCAAGGAGCACTGTGACCAGGAGCGCTATCGTCATGGCTCAGAGCGCTTTGGCATCAGCTTCTGGGTCTAACAAGGAGCTGTTTGGCAAGATGATTGCTCAGGCTGAGAGCGCTGTCAAAGAAGCTCAGGACAAAGGGCGTCAAGCAAATCAAGCTCTTAAGGAACGCCAAGAAGCCCTGGACAAGTTGAAGAAAGAGGCAGCCCAGCATCACAAAGAGGCCAAAGAGGCAATGGCCAAAGTGAGGGCAGAAGGCCGTGCTGCTTCAGCACCGGCTGCACCCTCTCGTCGGATGCAAGCCGACCTTGATGCTGGAGTACATCCAAGAGCTGCCAAGAAGAAGGAGAAGGACAGGCAGAGAGCTGCCAGTCATCGAGCAGCCACCGCTGGACAAAGAGCATCCAGCTTCAAGCGCTATGAGTTGGCCACCTTTGGACAGGCCGACCCTGACAAGTGGGACAAGGATGACATGGGAGATCTTCCTGAACCTCCCAAAGCAAGAAAGCTGGAACCTAAGCGTCGCAGAGGAGGACGTCATTGGTCTGACAGACGCAGAGCAGATGAAGCAAGGAAGAAGGCCAATAAGGAGAAGATGAAAGAGATGAGCAAGGATGAGATCCCACAATGGATCCATGACAAGTGTGAGATTTCCTCTGAGGAGAGCATTTCCTCTGAAGGATATGAGTTTGTCAGCAGACTTGAAAAGCTGAAAACCGATCCTGAAGTCCTCAGCAAGTTGGACAACGTCTTGAAGGAAGCCTACGAGAAAGCCTATGGTGAAGTTCTTGACCTAGGATCTTCTGATGAGACAGATCCAGACGATTTGCCCTACAACCAGGAGCCAGCACCAGGCATGGAGGATGTGGTCGAGCATTGGCAGAATTCCTTTCGAAGACCCATTCCATTCAAGGAGTTGCATGAGAAGTGCAAAACTGTCTCCAACAAAGGGTATCCCTATGTGAAGTGCCAGTCATGTGGAAAGGCACTCAACTCCATGAGCGTTGCAAGCTTTTGGCAACATGTGGAGAACAAGCAATGCTATCCTCAGTATGCCCTGGAGTTTTGGAAGAAAGAACATCGTCAGGTAAAGGCAGAGAGAGAGGCACGAGAAGAAGGAGAATCATCCCAGAAGCGCCCCATGGATGATGCAGAAGCCAAAGATGAGAAGAGGCGCCAAGAGATTGCCAAGGATGAAGAAAGGAAGAAGCGCAAGCAAAGCTTTGAGGAGCACTACGAGCGCTTCAGGCACAAGGGCAAAGATGAAGTGAAGCCCGAGGTGAAGAAGATCCCCAAGAGGCCAGGGGAGAAAGAGAAGGTCGAGGAGAAAGAGAAAGAAGAAAAGAAAGAAGAAGAAGAGGCACCCAGAGCACCCATCGAGCTGAAGTCCAAATCCCCATCGAGAGCGCCTGAGGACAGCCGGGCTGATTCAGCCCAGGCGTCCAAGGGCAGGGGAAAGTTCAGCATGGGCACCAAGAGATTCCTGGAGAAGACGGTGCGTGATGCAGCTAACTACATGGAAAGAAAAGCCAGGAAGAAGAGGGAGAAAACGCCATCTCCCAAGCCCAGGAAGCATTCACCAAGAGGAGGAGTTCGATCTGATTCCAACCTCGACTTCCTGGGAAGTTTGGCATCTCAGGTGGATACCATTGTCTGGGCCACCGTTGACTCAGGGGCAGCAACCAGTTGCCTACCCAAGGAATTGGCACAGTCATTGGAGTTGGCTATGACACCTGTGGATGAGAAGCCGTTCACCAACGCATCAGGGCAGCCAGTCCAGGTGCATGGGGTGTGCAACCCTATAGTGACCATGGGTGAGAAAGGAGGCCCACAAGTCAAAGGTGTGGGACAGTTCCGGGCAATGGATGTTGCAAAGCCATTGCTATCTGTGTCCAAGCTGGTTGAGAAAGGCTGGACAGTGACCTTCGGCCCCAAAGGATCGTTCCTGCAAAGGGGAGCCAAGAAGGTACCAATCACAATGACTGGAGGTGTTTTCAAGATAGCCATGGATTTTCATGGGCAGCCCACAGAAGGGTTGAAGGCGTAAGTCCTGTGGAGACCACAGAGAGCGCAGGTAGTGGAGATGATGAACCGGGCAGTAGTAAGCTAGGTTCTCAAGCGCTACCAACTGCAGCAGCGCCGACGCAGAGAGAAAAAGAAGAACATTTTGTCAGCCATTATCCTTTTAGGAGTTGGTGTGAACATTGCATTCGAGGTAAGGCAAAGGCAATGAGACATGTCAAAGTAGATCATTCAGATGAAACAGTTCCTGTGATCTCAGCTGACTATTGTTTCATGAATTCAGTGGATGACACTGTCATCACAGAAGAAGTGCAGAAAAAGCATGCACCAGTTTTGATAGTACATGATCGATGGTCCAAGTTGACCTACGCACACGTTTTGCCATACAAGGGAGTTACCCAAGGTCCTATTGGATCTAAGTGTCTTTTGAATGACCTTAAGAAGTTTGGGTACCCCAAGATGGTCATGAGGTATGACCCAGAGCCTGCACTCAACTCCGTAGTTGAGGCAGCCAAGAATGGTTTTGACAAACAGTTGGTTTTGGAAAAAGTTCCCAAAGGAGTCTCAGAATCCAAAGGGGAAATTGAAAGAGCAGTTCAAGCTATTGAATCTCAATCCAGGACACTCAGAAGTGCCTTGGAGACAAGCTATGGAAGAAAGGTGCCAGACGACCACCCAGTTTTGACATGGTTGGTTGAACATGCTAGCACCACTTACAATTTGTTTCACAGATCATTGGAAGTCAAAGATGGGAAGACACCGTACTCTAGACACCGTGGTCGTGAGTGGAGAGTGTCATTACCACCATTTGGGGAAACAATTGAATTCCTCAAAAGAGGTCACAAGTTTGAACAAAGATGGCACCAAGGAGTTTTCTTGGGAGTCAAAGACAATACCACTGAGAAGATAGTGGGAAATGCATCAGGTGTTTTCACTGTGCAAAGCATTCGACGCAAGAGTGCTGACGACAGATATGATGCCGAAACTTTGATGTCAGTCACTGGGGTTCCCTGGGATCCTCAAGCATCAAAAAGAGATGATGTTTTGCTTCCTCAGATTGTTGGGGGAGATCAGCAGCCACTGGCGCCATCAGTGCCAGTTGAGCCACCAAAGAAGTCAACAAGACGACTTTACATCACCAAACGTGATTTGGACAAGTATGGCTACACCGCTGGTTGTGTCGCCTGTGATGCCACTAGAATTGGCAAAAGAGGCACTGGAGTTCATCACACTCCAACCTGCAGAGAAAGGATGGAACGTCTGCTTCAAGCAGAAGAGGGCAACCTGAGAGTAGCCCAACATACGGCCAAGGTTGATTCTGAAATCACTGGTCAGAAACAAGAAGTGTCCGAAGAAGGCACAAAGATTCTTTATGGGTATTCAAGTGAGAAACCACAAGAAGTTCCTCACGGTTTTAAGGTGTTTGCGCGCCTTGACAAGAATGCAAGGTATCTCAAGGGTACTATGCCAGAAGGTCCCAGTTGGGATAATGTCTGGTGGAGAGTCACCAGAGATTTCAAAACAGGAAACATTATCAAGTCTGAACCAATGGATCCTAGTTTAGGAGATGAAGTCATCAACGCGCCTTTGATTGATGACGCAGATATCGTCACTGAACTGTGGTACTCAGCCACAGGGGAATCTGCTCCAAGTTTGCCAACAGCTGGACCTGCTATCGCGAGGCAGAGTCCTGCTACCGGACAAGCTGCAGATCCACCTGCAGAAAGCGCAAGCGCAAGCACAGCCTCAGCCAAGAGGGCAGGAGGCGAGCAAGAAGAAAGAGCACACAAAAGGTTGGAAATGTCTCCAACCAAAGGTCGGAAAAGACCTGCAGACTCAGGAGGCGAAACGTCAAAGTCCAAGGACAGCCGAGCTGCTTCAGCTCAGGCGTCTAAGGGCACCAAACGGCCACCTGAGAATGAGAGACCAGAAGACATGGATGACATAGACCAATGTCTTATGAACCTGATCATGGAAGATCGGGAGAAGTACCTTCAGTCCATTGAAGGTGAAGAAGAGCCAGTTTGTGAAGAGACAATTCCTCTTCCACCAGAACTGGAAGATGAAGCAGCCACATGGTATTATTACGATGATATCAGTGGAAAGATTTTAGACAGCAAAGGTGTAGAACAAGCCAGAAAGATGAGGTCGAAATCATCGAAAGTTTTCCAGTTTGGGAAAAGATTCCCAGACACAAGATGCCCAAAGGGGTACGCACCATTGGAACACGATGGGTAGATGTCAACAAGCAGGATGAAGAGAATCCACTTTATAGAAGTAGGTTAGTAGCTCAAGAAGTCAAGAAGGGCTCAGGTTTTGATGAGTTCTTCGCAGCTATGCCCAGTTTGTCGGCTTTGAAGATGCTAGTTACAATAGCCGTCACGTTTCAGTTGCCAGACGCTGGAAAAGCTGTCAAGGAAGCCTATCGCAAGCGTAGACTTCTAGGATTTTTGGATGTGAAACGCGCCCACTTTTACTCAGATGCGACGCGTGAGATCTATGTGGAACTTCCTGCAGAAGCAAAGAAGCCTGGAGAAGATGTGGTAGGAAGATTGCTCAAGTCTTTGTATGGAACCAGAGACGCACCTCTCAACTGGGAGTTGCAAATACAGAAGGTTATGTTAGCCTTAGGTTTCAAGCAAGGAAAAAGCAATCCATGCATTTACTACCATGCAGGCCGAGACCTCAGAACTGTTGTACATGGAGATGATTTTACAACAGCCGGAACATTTGACAACATCAAATGGCTTCATGAAGAGCTGTCGAAGAAGTGGAAATGTGTGGAACGTGGTATTTTAGGACCACCAGGAACACCAAACACCATCCAGGACATCAGAGTCCTGAACAGAATTATCACATGGAAGGAGAATGGAATTTGGTGGGAACCAGATGCACGTCATGCAGAGTTGGTGATTGATTTACTCGGAGATGGTCCCCGAGGGGCCAAAGTCAAGACACCACTTGCCAAGGGTTCAGTGGAAGACCTCAAGAACGCCACTGTTTTTCTCAATGATGAAGAAGCAACCCAGTACAGATCAGTTGCAATGCGAGCAGCTTATTTGGCACAAGATCGACCAGATCTGCAAGTAGCGACAAGATCTTTAGCACAAGGGCTACAACGACCAACTACCAGCCACATGCTTATGCTCAAACGAGTTGCACGATACCTAAGGTATCGACCACGCATGGCACAATTCTTTCCTCATCAGAGCAAACTCAGTCCATTTGTGATGTGGTCTGATGCTGACCACGCTGGTTGCGTGAAAACGAGGAAGAGCGTGTCAGGAGGCGTCCTGATGGCCGGAGGTTGTTGTATCAAGACTTACTCTAAAGGACAAGGAGTAGTCAGTCTTTCGTCTGGAGAGAGTGAGTATTACGCTCTTGTGAGCGGTGCCAGCAGTTTGCTGGGAGAAGTTTCAACCGCCAAAGACTGGGGTTTGCAACCCGAGAGTGAAGTTTTCATGGATGCAAGTGCAGGAATAGCAATGGGTTCTCGCAGAGGACTAGGCAAGGCCAAGCACGTGGATACTCAATACCATTGGGTACAAGACCGCGTTGCCAAGCGCTATTTTCGGCTGAAGAAGGTCGACGCTGGCGATATGCTTGCCGACGTCTTGACGAAACCTGTCATAGAAGAGAAAATGAATAAAGCCTTGCGAAATATGAATTTTCACTTTCTGGAAGGTGAGCATCACCTGACACTGAGAGCATAGATGGCTTGAGCGTGGCTATGAGTAGCTGTACATATCAAAACTCGCCTAGTTCAAATAATTGGACGGGAGCGCCGTTTTTAAACAGGCTCGGGAGGCGTGATCAGATATGTGTACAGTGTAGACTATGTCACATGTAGCATATATGTTTGTATATGTGCTGCAGCCATTTTAGTGCTTTCAGCTACCTTCGAGCTGACTGAGTAAAAGGTGCTGATCAGTGCTCAGGAGTGTTCATCAGATTTAAGAGCCCAAATTCTCTGTTCATATGTGGTGAAAAAATGAATTGAACAAATGAAACCATGAATATATATATATATATATGCATGCATGCATGCATGCATGCATTTGCAAACATGTTTGGTATTCAAACGTAGCTGAAAAAACATCATGTTATGCGAGAAACGTGATCTATAAATGAGCAGTGTTCAAAACGCCTATTGGTTGATGATTAGTTCTGGGATTATGCAGTTCTAATCAATACATATTGGGTACTATCACAACCCATTAGGGGAATCCCTTTCCCAACCAACCAGTACAAAGGGACGACATTTCGGGTTTTGAACGCTGGGTCCCATTCGCATGTTTGAAGTACCAGAGGGTATCAACCAATATTCCATGGTTATCCCATTCGCATTCCATTAATATACTGCTGATTTACCCTCTGGTAAATTAACATAGCTATTGAAAATCACCATTTATAGTGGATTTTCCCATTAAACATGGTGATTTTCCATAGTTATGTTAAATTACCAGAGGGTATTTCAACTGGATGTGGTGCAGTATTTTTTGTTCTTTCGATTCGTCGCCGCACCGGCAGGCTACTTGTATCCCATCATGGAAGACAACCGTTTCCTCCGGAACTCCTACCAGAAGTGGAGAGGCTTAGGCCGCAACTGGCAACGTTTTCTCTTTTCCGGTGTGACGTATGAAGCGTGACATCACTTTGTATTTTCTAAAAAGGCACACCATGGATTACAACAAACGGCATCTCATATTTATTGCTACAGTAATAATAATTATTATTAACATTTTTGTGTTTAGATCTGTCCTGAGTCTATATACATACGGTATGCATATGGTCGTGCAGACGTATGGCTATGTATACATATATACCTATACATTCTTACGTGTATGTACATATACATCATACATATGTACACACACACATATAAAAGTAAAGAAAAAAACAAATCAATAAATAAATGAATAGATAATTCAACACACACACTATATATATATACACATACATATACAGTATATATATATACACACGTCCCCATTTGTTTGCACATATGGATATATATATATAAATACATACATATGTGTATGTACTCTATCTATCTGTTTGTCTGTCTGTCTATCTATCTATCAAACTAATCCAATCCATCAACCTGTCAGTCTATCAATCTATCTATCAATCAATCCATCGATCCATCGATCCATCGATCATCGATCCATCGATCCATCGATCGATCGATCCATCGATCCATCGATCCATCGATCCATCGATCCATCGATCCATCGATCCATCGATCCATCGATCCATCTATCCATCTATCCATCTATCTATCTATCCATCTATCCATCTATCTATCTATCTATCTATCTATCTATTTCTTGGTAATCTTACCTGAGATTGTGTCCCCTCTTGACTTTCATAAGCCATCCCATTTTTTGGCGCATCAATTGAATTGGGATCCATTTGGATCAGTTGACCTGGTGTCTGCAAACCGCAAGAATCACAAATTCTCAAGTGGTATAACCGGGAAACGGGGTATTGAAAGGTGGTTTAATGGTGATATGCCCACCTATCATAAGAGATAATTGAGGTATAGCATGAGATCAACATTATCTTTGGATATTTTATGGGGAAACCAATGGGGATACACATTATAATCAACTATCTAATGCTATATATATATATATATGTATTATATGCATGGTGTGTCTGAAAGTTGTTAGTATAGCACGCAAATGGCAACTGTGTGGATTCATTTCTAAGTTCTTGCCACCAACATTTGATTTTTTGGAAGGTTGTATGGCAATGTTTTTCGCGATTTTTCCTGCAGCCTTCGGAAATCTACCCTAACATCCAATTTCATCCCATATGTCCACATGTCATCTATTGCTAACATGTGAAGTCTTCGTCTTTTTTCCACACATATATCCCATATATTGTTCCATTTCCCACGGATTTTTCCAATTTTTATCCAATATTTTCCCGTAATTCCTGTATTTGCCAAAATTTGTAAATATTTTTCAACATTTTCCACATTTTCAAAATTTTCAGGGTGACCGCTCCGTATTTTTTTCTCCTCCAACGCGGCAGGGCGTCTCAGGAACTCATCTCAGCAGAGCCGTGAGTGCCTGGGCTGAGCCCGGGTCTTCGGCGGAGGAGAAGACTGAGGTGCAGCTGTCGAAGTCTGCGCCGGAAGTTGATGAGATATCACCAGTTGATGGGTGTTTATCCCATAATTTATAGGTTTTCAACATGTTTCAACCATCCTTTTGGTGGTGCAGGATTTCGCACAGGCACTTCAAGAGCAAACATGAAGACGCATTTACCTTCTGGTTGTTTAACGTAGCTATGGAAAGTCACAAAATTCAATTGGCAAATCATAAATCATATATCATTTATCAATGTCAGATAACCAGACGGTAACCAGCATCAAATTGGGATGGCACCAGCCCTAAAATGTGATGTAAACAGATTTAGACAACAAAAATGCGGCAGAGTAATCACTTGTCTTTGAGGCAGCTGGCTTTCATTTTCACACTTGCGAATGGGACAATTGATGTATTTTTCTGCGCCTTCAGCAAATCCAGCTTTCAGGGAGTCAAAAGTGATGGCCCTCCAAAGTCATCAAGTCTGGCCCCCCTTTCGGTATTCAGTGGCTTCAGTGATACCCAATTTCTCCCAATTTCAGTTGTCTTGGAGTAGACTGAGTAGACCTTGCATCTCTGCCCCTCTGCTTTGCGCTAGGCCTTGCGGCACTTCATCCGCAACTTCCAGTCGCAGCAAACGGCGAAGCATGCGAAGAACGGGGACGCGTGGAAGGGGTTCACTTGGCCCCAGGCCATGCTGGGCGGTACATGAGGAAAGCCACTATATATGATGGTTTTGTTGGGAAATGTTGGGAAAATCGCCAATTGCCAATCGAGCAGTGGCTACACCCCAGTGGCTTGATGATTAGTTCCGTGATGATATGAATTAACCATAATTCACTAATATTTCATGCGCAATATCAGAATCCATTGGGGGAATTCCGTTCTCAACTAACCAGCAAGGGACGACATAGTGCTGTTTAGGACCATTTCAGGTGCTGTTTAGGACCCACATATTTTGGGAATGGCTTTTGAGGATTAATTCGCATGGTTGGCCAACTGACCAGATCGGGAGTTCATACCTACCAATTCTTTTGGATATGCACTTGAAAAAACGAGGATCTTTCACCACAACCCCTGACATTGGAACATCACCCCATGACATGGGCAGATTTTTTCCCCTAATGGGACGTCCGCCAGAATTAGAAAATCTCCACAAGAAGGGCCCCCCTAGATGGGGAAAGGCTGATCACACACATATCTATGGTTGGACAGGGTGGTAAACCATCGTGTAACTTAGATTCCCATTACGGAAAATTACGGAAAATTTGCAGGACATCCTGACACTCTTATCTTTGGGGCTACCGTCTGAAACGAATCCATTGGATCTTCAGCTCCAAGTTGACACCCTGAGGGCTTCAGATCAGGTCGTGGCGGCTCCGGCCACCTACGTGGCCACCGTCAGGGACGCCGAGAACTATGTGAGCCGCCTGCAAGCGCATGGCACCCTGCCTTCAGGACCTGGAAGATTGGATCATCCGACCATAAGGATTGAAGCTGGAAAAACCATAAGGATAGTTGGTCAGTTCCTGATTTGTTTTGTGTTCCCATATATTGAACATAGGGTGAATTAATTATGCTATAATTATGCTTACTGGATAGCTACTATATAAGTGGGATGATCCTCCAACTGTTGTATATTTGGGACCCAGGCAAGCAAGTGACTGCACCATGGAACGGGCAGCTTCAATTCAAGCAACGAAAGCCAGCCAATTGAAATTGGGTGTTTGTTGGTTAACCCCGAGCTTCCTTCATATAATTCATGATTGGATACTTGAAATATCTTGAAATGGTCAAGAATAGAACATCTACCTGATCTACCTCCCCCAACGCCGGTGCCCTTGCTTGGTACAGCCGCACAGCCCGGTAGGAAAGTGGCCCTTTCGGCTGCGCGGCTGTTTGGAGAGCATTGAGCCTGGCAAAGCCATAGACATCCTTCGGGTGGCCCAACCGTGCGACCTCAAACATCGTCCAGCATGGCAGTATCCAGGGTATCCAATACGAAAATCATCGTCCAGACCGTCCAGACTAAACTGAATTGCACTTAGTGTAGGTGAAAAACCAAACATTGGACGACCACACTTGATATCAAGCAAGTGTTCAACAACACTTGGGGATATTACCAATGAACAAATGAATACAAATGGGTGGATATTATGTGGGCAAACCACCTGGTAAAGTGGAGATGATTTTTGCTATTGAGACTGGGGAATATTTGTTGCACCCAGCTAGAGTTTTTTTTGCCACACGCAGGGTATACAACTGATTTTCCGTGAAATTTTCCCGTATGAGAAAGTCGATCATCACTTTCTGAAGGCTTAAAGCAAAGGTTATGTCTGAAATCTGGAGGACCCTGTATGCCTAAACCCCCTGGAGAGTTGCCATGGAACCGATGGAACCCCTGCAATCCAGTGGGAGGATGATTTTTCGAAGCCGGTTTTTGGCATGTTGGCTTTCACGAGGATTTTCCGACTGAAGATGGTGGGTTTTAGCTGCAGAAATACACTTTTTCGACAGCCAACCAACGTGGAGAGGTTCATGTGGACAAATTGTGAGACAATTTGTGATGTAGACAAAACATCTGCCTGCGCAGGTCGTTCAGTTGAAGAAGGTGGAAGCGCTGTGCAAGGGTTATGATTATGACACTTGGGTCATTGAGTCCACCATTTCAAGCCTCGAAAAGTAACTTTTTCATGGCTTTGGAGATGCACCTGCAGTTTCAGTAGTCGGTTCAACCGATGAAGTTGATTGAGGGGTGCTTTAATGGATAAATATGTAGATGATCTTTACATCGAATATTCATCTTTTTCCTTCAGCAATTCTATTCATTGACCAAAATTGTGCAAGATTTGAGGCCAAAAGACCAGATCGCTCCGGGATGTATATGGCCACTTAGGGTTTGAGCCATGACATGTGACTCCAGTTCAGCCATGCAGGGAACTTAAACGCAACGCGTTTTAGCAGCTGAAATGGGCCCAACCCCACCCCAGTTTGTATTGGAGCCAATTCTTTTTTCACTTCTAATCATGCTTTAAAGTTCATCGCCAATGCAAACTCATCATCAATATATAAATTACTCCAGATGCTCCCGTTTTTTCCAGATGCTCAACTCGCCGTTAAGGACATCCCCATAATCCATAGTTGCTGTAGTAATCTCCTCAAAAACGCCTTACATGAGTTGTTTCCATCTACTTTTCCATACATTTCCCATATATTTTCCCATCTTTTCCCCACCTTCTACCCCCCGGTCCTCGGCCGAGGACCCATGGCACGAGCTCTGCGAGGATCTGGACGCCGCCATCGCCGCGGCGGCCTTGGCGCCGCGGCCCGCGCCGCCGCGCGCACCGGCGCCGACGCCGAAGGACGTGCAGACGCTGCTGGTGCAGTGCTGGGAGGCGGAGGGGCGAGTTGGGTGACTCCAATGGGGACGGAGTGGGGATGGGACATTTCTGACTGGGATACCCTCTGGTAAACTAACATAGCTATGGAAAATCACAATTTTTAATGGGTAAATCCACTATAAATAGCCATTTTCAATAGCTATGTTAAATTACCAGAGGGTAATCTATAGGGGATATAGAACCTTTGGGCTATATAATCTATAGGAATTATGATCATTATAACATATTATAGGTGTACAACTACTCTACAACTATGTAACTGGGAGATTTTTCGGGAACATGATCATTGGGATACAACTATACTGGATTGTGATAATGTATGGGATTATAGTGGAGATAATTGGGATAGATAATTGGGATTGTATGGGGATATAGTGAAGATACTTATGGATTTATACGAATAATGGGGACATTTCTGGCTGATGGGATGGTAATTGGCGTGGATGGTATCGAGTGGATGGTGTTTTGAAGCCACTAAGCTAAGTGGAGTACATAGATATAAATGATATAAGTATAGATATCGGAATAGTCATCTTTGTGACTGGGATTTTGCCAGATTTTGCCCACTGAGTAATCATTGATTGGGATCATGGAAATATATACTGGGATATCATGGGACTTGGATCTGTCGAGTTTTTTTTTTGGCTTTTCCCGATGGGAAATCTACTACGACTGGAGAATCTGTTCAGGTTCGGAATCTAGGGGAAATTGATGAAACATGATGAAACCACTGGAATGAGAATCTGTGAAGGAAGGGATCCAGGGGAAATTTGATGAAACCAGAATGGGACATTTCACCAGATGGGATGGGACTATCATCGAGGCGAACCGAACTTCTCAGTCACGATGCCCGGGATGCACGATTCCTAATGTGTGATAGATTGGGGGAAGATAACAATGGGTTGTTTCTACCTGTGTCGGTGACATATATATATATATATGTGTGTGTCATATATAGGTACCGATGTAAAGAAGATGTGGATATAGATGAAATGATAAGTAGATCTATAGCCATACATTGACATCTCTATCCATGTCGCCATCAGTTTCAAACAATATCGGGGCAAGTTGGTGATTTGATGCTCGCTTCGCCCCCGAACGGTGGGTCTGATTCTCCCCATGGCCAGAAATTGGTGATGGTGTCAACCTCGTCATCAGATGGTCCCTATACTTACACAATATTACACCCCCATAAATTTACCAGAGAAGCTTCATAATGCCAAATATTCATGGTAGAATCATCTCGGGGATCCCAGTTTTCATGTTCCATGTCAAAAGTTTGGGGATGTACACTTGCTAACGATTTGTGGCTTTCAACCCCTAATATGAAAGCTGCAGCTGCAGTGTTCATCCTGACATCGAACAGCTTGCACCGTTAGTTTTTTAAGGCCGATTTTTTTTTCATGTCTTGTTGATTTGGCCACACAGCCTAAGAATTACCATGTTTTTGTGTTGGGACAGAAACCTCCAATTTGGTTGCTTAAATCACCTTCCCTGGTAGATTTTGATAAGCAGCAATCCTTATCTTAAGCCATAGTTCATTGTCAAATCCCCTAACTTTCTTTGCTTGACTTCCAGACATTTTGTTGCTTAAATCATGTTAGATCCCAGTTTTTGTTGGTGAATTCCATACCCTCCCACCCCCCAAAAGATATTAAAATCCATGTAAAATCTTACTTAACCACCATTTTTCAATTATTTATATTATTTCCCATGATTTTCACCCGGAAAATCCCATGCCTTTCGGTGATGGAGCACACCGTTGTGGGCTCCGGGCCAGGGCCTCGAGCGGTTCGAGACGAAGGAGGACGAAGGTGTTTTGACACGGCAGCCAGGTGTGGCTGAAGATTGGGATAGTCAATGGTTAATGGTTTTATCATCTTTTATCATGGATTGACTGTGACTATGGTTCATAGTAGCTATATGACCAAGGCAACTATGGTTTATGCTAGATACCCTCTGGTTATTTAACATAGCCATGGAAAATCACCATTTTTAATAGGTAAACCATCTATAAATGGGCAATTTTCCATGGCTATGTTAAATAACCAGAGGGTAATATCTATGTTCCCCCATGATTAACCCATTTGGGATAGTTAGATTATGGGATAATAATGGGGGAAAACCATGGTTAATATACTAGTTAATAGTGTATCATAGTCATTCATTGGTGAATCATGGATGATGAATTCCCTACCTATAGTTCATATATGACAACCATGGTCAATAGTCTTTAATGATGGTTCATGATTGATAGTACCCTTTGGTTATTTAATGTAGCTGTGTGATATAATAGGCATTTCAATGGAGATAGAACCGTTGCTACTCTTTAGATGTTTGGACGGGGGCTGTGGCTATTTTTGCTTTTCCTACCCGCAGGCATGAAGCTGACATTTTTTTACATATTTTTCCTATTGAGAGCAGATTTTGATGTTTACTCCTTGGCGACGTTTAATTTGTACACCCGGTCGCATCGAGGATATGTCGTGTAGGCAGCCCCTCTATCCACCCCATGTATTACAATGTATGCTTTGCAAAGGCTTTCTGCATGTACTTTTCCTATGTACATATCTAATCTGGATTGGATGGGGGATGTTCTTTTTCCCCTTTTGTTGGGCCAGACTGGCTTTCTGGCCAGTGCGCATTGTCTCTGCTGGAATTCCGACTCGCACGAACCATTTTATAGGATACAATAGGATATTGGGAGAACGTGGAGATATAACCCCAACAATATGATGTGGGGCCCCCCAGTTATAAGTTGGTTTATAAACCCAATTAACTATAGTTATTTGCGTACCATAAACCATAGTTATTGGAGTTATGTTCACCAACTTAGCTATCGAACGGGGGCCCCACATTGTATGATGTATTATGGAATTGGCTTTGTCTAATGTCTAGTATAGCTCGAATGTCTAACGCCAGTTTTTTGTGGGAAAAATGCTGAACCAAATCCAGGGAGAAAAGGGGTTGTCTGAAAATGCAATTTCAGGGAGGTCTACGAGCCATTTTCGGACACACCCACATATCCTTTGGTTGGTTATATATATATAATATATATATATATATACACTATATATTAATAAATAAATAAATAAATAAATATATATATATAATGTACATATGTGTATACACACCGTATCGACGGACTATTTAAACACGGACGAGCAAAACAGGCAAATCCACCAAATGGTTCTCGCACGACAATTTTAAGCTGTCGCAGTGCCGGCCCACGGACGCTTTAGCGACCATGGCCGGAAAAAATATACACACCATACCCTCTGGTAAACTAACATAACTATGGAAAATCACAATTTTTAATGGGAAAATCCACTATAAATCACCATTTTCAATAGCTATGTAACAAATTACCAGAGGGTATCTCTTTCTCTCTCTCTCTCTGTCTCTCTATATTGTATATGTATCCCCTTTAAAAACCCCTTGATCTCCTGGCCAGTGAGGCCGTCCTCCAGGTGCGACGCAGCTGGAATTGGGCGCCTTGAACCGTTTGAGCTGCAGAGATGCCATGCTGATGCTGAATCGCCTCAGGGCCCAGAAGCTGCTTGGAGGAGATTGACGACTAGGACCGGATTGAGACTCTGGGAGTAGCATAAAAAGTGGGGAGAGAATGGGGCTATTAAAGGGGATAGTATATATATATAATGTTTTTTTTCGACCAACCAAATGATACTATTTGGGTGCAGAAGAACAGGGCATATCCCAATGAACAAACTAGTTCATCCATTTTGTGGGGTGTATCCATTCAATTTGAGTTTGTCCAAAAATCATGTTCATTATCAAAAATTGACAACCAAGGGGGAGGGAATACCAATTCTTGAGCCTAATAGTTGTTGGCATCTGATGTTGTCGTGTTTTTTTAAATGAGTGCATCAAACCACCTAAGCAATAAACACGCTCAGCAATCCAACCATCCAGCAATCAAATTCATTCAATATCCAACTCATCGATTTTCAGTTGAAAGTCTTCCCGCAACTTATGGCAGGTCGACTCCGTTACCGTTGCCACGTCGTGCCACGTCCCAGGCCCCATGTTCTCCAAAAAAGGCCGGCGGATGCCAGGTCCACCGCAGGTGCGGGGGATGTCATCCAGTGGGTGAAACACCCAGCCCATCGCGTGGTGATTTTTGACCGCCATTCTTGCTGCTTCAAAGCCTCAAAGCTTGGAAACTTTGGTGATTTTTGTTCCATTTTGTTCCATATTTCTCAATCAACAGCCCAGTTTTTCTCGATTCTATGGCCCAAGGGCGATTTTTTCCGACTTGAAAATTGTCATGTTTCATCCCTGAAAGGCACAAAAGGTGGACAAAAACATGTTCACAGTTATATGTTAAACGAGTCGTTTCCAGGAATTTTTATCCAACCACGGTTTTGTCCGGTGAGTTTTCCAATCTCTTCCATATCCATATAATATTTATATATATATAGATGCATAAAATTCCATTGATGACTAACAGTATCCCATATCCCATGCCCACTATCCTATTCCATATTGACGTATCATATTGGAATTATCATATATCTCTCTCTGAAATGCCTTTTGTATCTAGCACGCGTAAGCCCATGTCCATATTATATCAAATTTGCAAAGCGAAAACTATTCAAGGTGGTGCCAGTGATGTTTGTAGGTTTATAAAGCCCATCAACTATACATATATCTACCATAAAAACATATCAACACCAACAGTTGTGTTAGTGACACACCAACTCTGAAGCACCACTGCGAACCCGACTTCAACAACTCAAGAACCTTCAGTAAGGCCCCACTCCGGGATAATCCCCCCGGGTCGTCATTTACAGTGACGTGACAATGACGTGACGTGCAACCATTTTTTTTTTTTGCTTGAGTCCCCAAACATCGCTTTTCCTGAGAATGAACGATGTTTGGTTGTAAAAAAACATTCCAGTATATCCTTGTTATTCTTGTAAATTACCAACATGGATAGAAACGTTTGAAAGCTGGAAGCATGAGGAACGTATCATCGAACTACTATCCTGGAAAGATTTTTCTATTTTTCTGGGGGTTGCTATATTGTAAATTGCCAAAAATGTTGGTGGCCAGATTATCCCCGCAATTTTCTGATTGTCGCGCAATATTCCCATTATCTTCCCACAATACCCATTATTCCACCATTTTTGTATATTTTTGTTAGATATACCACCTTTCTATGCCTAGAAAACCTATCAGGTTGGCTACATCTATCCCATTTTTAATCATTCACATCCCAATTGATATCCTTATTCTATCCCGATGTTTGGTTTGTTAAGCCCTATAGTCATTTGGTTGGTTCACATATCCTATTATATTCCAATTATAACATCCCAATTGGTTATGTATATCCCATTGATATTCTCACTCTACCTATGTTTGGTGGTATATAGGAACGATATCCCATTGATATCCTCATTCTATTCGCAACAGATTCTTTCCCGTATTTTTTTAAAATCTCCACCTTATCTCAATGATAAGCTAAGTACATGGGATGCATTATCTCCATCCCCCAGTCCTCACCATGGCTTTTATAGGAGGTATGCTTACCATTCCCAGTCATGGGTGGTAAACATGGCATTGTTTTACCCACATTAATGGAATTATCATGGGATAACAATAGGATTATCTTGGGATATCATTGGAATAGTATATATATATATAATGGAATATTATCCCAATTTTATCATGTTCCACTCGTTTCGTCCCCCGATCGACGAGGCTTGGCGCAGCATGCGGCGATGTTTCATGCGTTGCGTTCGGGGCGCTCGGGGATGCAGCTCCACTCCGCACTGCTAGGCGCTAGCAGAAAAACGCTGGGATTTCACCAGGAAAAACCATGGATTTAAGTAGGAAAACTTCGAAATCTGCCAGGAAAAGTGGATTTCGCTAGGCGAACTTAGAATTTCACCAGGAAAAACGGATTTGATTTAACAAGGAAAAATTGACATTCAGCGGGAAAAAACGGGAATAAAGTGGGCAAACGGGGATTAAACCATCAGCATAGAGGTCCAACAAAAATTCAAAAGAACATGAGAGTTGAAGGTAAGCATCATCTACTGTACTGTATATTCTCGGTCTTTCTAATATGGGAAATATGGGTTTACAATGGAAATGTCATTGGACTACAGTGGGATACAGCATGTCTGGAGCCGGGGGAGTATCAAACGCACGGATTAGACCAGTTTATTCGTCGCAGGGACACTGTTTGGAATTCAGCAGTGTATAAAGGAGCCAACACACTTACGGGGGCTTTAACAAAAATTATGGCTTAAAAATGGCCGTAAACATCATGCCATGATGGGTTAATTTGGAGTGCAATTTTTGGGTTACAATTGTGGCTTAATTTACACATTCTTGGAATCGAATCAATAATCTAAATACCATATTCATTGTTGACCATTAGCCTGTTTCATAGGAGACAAGGAATTCAGTTACCAGTCAAGATCAAGGGCTGGTATTGCTTTTGAACTTGAACCAGAACTTAGATTTACATTAGTGTAATTCTTATGATCAATTAAGATATTGGGACCTACTTTAAGTCATGTAGTGAAAAAGGATCAACACTTCTGAAATATCTCATTTACATACATTCAAATTTGATCCCATTTCATCCTCCAATGCTTCTCAAGGTTGCCCGTAATAACCATGCGGACCACATCCCGGTTCTACATGAGATGCCCCCAGTTATATACCAAAATGGCTGTTGATGTATGGACAATGGGTTGCTGGCCATTAACTGTTAAAGTGTAATCCTTGCCATTAATCGATGTCATTAATCAGCATACCAATGTAAAGACCAATATTATGTTGTATCATGCATGTATATATATATATATGTGTGTGTGTATGTGTATATATATATAGAGGCATATGCACACGGTCACACATATGTATACCTACATATATATATATATATGCATACAAAAGCACGCACAGACACACGCACACAAGTTCACACACACATATACATGTACATGTATATGTATATGTATATGTATACGTATACGTATAGGTATATGTATACGTATATGTATACGTATATACACACACACATATATATATATGTCTACGTATATATGTATATAAATACGTATACATGCATACATAGTCATATCTACACAAGCCTGTTTTTTTCCCCTCACCAGTTGCCAAGCGGTATGCACATCATCGTCTTTGGCTAGGCATGCTAGAACGGAAAGGGCAACGTCAGAAGCGAACTCGGGATGCCTGGCAGCAATAACTTGCTATGTGGTGGCTGGAACCAGTACTGGACACATACAGAAGACAATGTGTATATTTAATGATATCTGTCTATCTATATCTATCTATATCTATCTCTATCTATCTCTATCTATCTCTATCTATCTCTATCTATCTCTATCTATCTCTATCTATCTCTATCTATCTCCTATCTATCTCTATCTATCTCTATCTATCTCTATCTATCTCTATCTATCTCTATCTATCTCTATCTATCTCTATCTATCTATCTATCTATCTCTATCTATCTCTATCTATCTCTATCTATCTCTATCTATCTCTATCTATCTCTATCTATCTCTATTTATCTCTATCTATCTCTATCTAGCTCTATCTATCTCTATCTATCTATCCCTATCTATCTCTATCTATATCTATCTATCTCTATTTATCTCTATCTATCTCTATCTAGCTCTATCTATCTCTATCTATCTATCCCTATCTATCTCTATCTATATCTATCTATCTATCTATCTATCTCTATCTATCTCTATCTATCTCTATCTATCTCTATCTATCTCTATCTATCTATCCCTCATCCGATCTATCGATCTATCGATCTATCGATCTATCGATCTACTGTATCTACTGTATCTACTGTACCTACTGTATCTACTGTATCTACTGTATCTACTGTATCTACTGTATCTACTGTATCTACTGTACCTACTGTATCTACTGTATCTACTGTATCTACTGTATCTACTGTATCTACTGTATCTACTGTATCTACTGTATCTACTGTATCTACTGTATCTACTGTATCTACTCTATCTACTCTATCTACTCTATCTACTCTATCTACTCTATCTACTCTATCTACTCTATCTACTCTATCTACTCTATCTACTCTATCTACTCTATCTACTCCATCTACTCTATCTACTCTATCTACTCTATCTACTCTATCTACTCTATCTACTCTATCTACTCTATCTACTCTATCTACTCTATCTACTCTATCTACTCTATCTACTCTATCTACTCTATCTACTCTATCTACTCTATCTACTCTATCTACTCTATCTATCTATCTGTCTGTCTATCTATCTATCTATCTATCTATCTATCTATCTATCTATCTATCTATCTATCTATCTATCTATCTTATCTATCTATCTATCTATCTATCTATCTATCTACTGTATCTATCTATCTATCTATCTATCTATCTATCTATCTATCTATCTATCTATCTACTGTATCTATCTATCTACTGTATCTATCTATCTGCTGTATCTATCTATCTACTGTATCTATGTATCTACTGTATCTATCTATCTACTGTATCTATCTATCTACTGTATCTATCTATCTACTGTATCTATCTATCTATCTACTGTATCTATCTATCTGTATCTATCTATCTACTGTATCTATCTATCTAGATTTACATACAGATCGCTATTAGATAGCTGAATAGACATGCATAATGTGGTAAACCCAATCATCAACAATCCCACAAGTTAACCAGAGATGCGTGAAACAAATGTTATATAAACTCTCCAAAATGCGAGGTTAGACCATTGAGTCTACCACGTTATGCTGGTAGAGCAGTTCGACTTGAGGATGCATTTTTTTGTTTATTCAGCTGATGGAATGTGAGGGCCGGATAATATCATACATGCTATGATATATATACAGTATATATATATATATACAGTATATATATATGTATGTGCACAATATCGATCTTCACAGGTAAATCATATCACATATTTGGATTAGAAGCATGGTTGATAAGCAGCTGCTCAGCTACCCAAGCGGGATGAACGTGTTGGTGAAATCACCGTATTTTAGATGGGCACTGTAGATCACCATTTTATTTTGATGGTTAAATGTTCGCTAAGTCCTTATTTTCCGACCTGTTGCTGGTTGAATCCTATTGAATCCTCATTTCTGTTGGCGCCTAGGAGTCCTACGCGCAGCAGAGCGGCAAACGGCCCCGGGGAGGCACAGGGGGCCCAGGTCGCCTTGCAGATGGCGGAAACATGGTACAAAACAAATAAAAAACAACGTGTTTCACCTGAATATGATTTATAAATGGATATTGCACATGTAAATATGTATACACACTGTACACACACAGATATATATATATAATTATATATATATATATACACATATAAATGGTGGATTGTCCGAATATCTCGATGGTTTACCATTTACCCTAGTGTAACTACCAAGGAATGGGATGTAATTGGCAACTCGGCATGGCCGGAAGAAATGGAAGAGCAAAACGGTGAGTTGATCAGATTGAACTCAGCGACGCATGGCCAGCTGATTGCTACCGCCTTTTGCACAGCAATGACATGACTTCCCTGAAATATGTATACAATCCAAATGCCGGATGGTTTTCTTTAAAGGGGAGGCTCATTTAAGAAAATGATTGTGATTTTGCTGGCAGCGAAGGATTGCCATGGGGACTTGGGTTGCCGGCGCCCACCCGAAAGTATGTTGTTGCTGGGGGAATTTCTCCAAACAATCTCTTTCGAAGGATTTATTTGTTCTGGGATGTCCGGGGCCATTGGAGGCCAGTGGAAGCCGGCAGAAGACAAGAGCCAGCATTGGCAACAGCAGCGAGGCCGAGCGGAAGACAACAGCCAGCATTGGCAACAGCAGCGAGGCCCCGAAGAAGACAACAGCCAGGATTGGCCACAGCAGCGGGGCCGAGCGGAAGACAACAGCCGGCATCGGCAACAGCAGCGAGGCCCCGAAGAAGACAACAGCCAGGATTGGCCACAGCAGCGGGGCCGAGCAGAAGACAACAGCCAGCATTGGCCACAGCAGGGAGGCCCCGAAGAAGACAACAGCCGGCATTGGCCGCAGCAGGGAACCCTCGCAGAAGAGAAGAGCCACCGTTGGCCACAGCAGCGGGGCCGAGCAGAAGACAACAGCCAGCATTGGCCACAGCAGGGAGGCCCCGAAGAAGACAACAGGCGGCATTGGCCACAGCAGGGAGGCCCCGAAGAAGACAACAGCCGGCATTGGCCACAGCAGAGAGGTCCCGAAGAAGACAACAGCCAGGATTGGCCACAGCAGCGGGGCCGAGCGGAAGACAACAGCCAGCATTGGCCACAACAGGGAGGCTGCGCTGGGATTCTTTTAGGGAGATGGGTATGAATCCTTCAGATTGGACGGTCTACTGCAGTTTTTGCATCTTGTGGCAACCTGAGATGTGCCAGTGGATTGGACATTTTTGAATTTGATGTGAGCCGTTGGGCGTGGTTTGTTCCCATTTTCACACATCTACTGTAATTAATTACTCAGGCGAATCACCCCAGTTGATACTTCTTGAGGTTTGGCAGCATCAAACTTGGCAAAATTCTTAGTGTTGAATCTTCCATAAGATAATCTTCCTTAATCAGTGGAATGATGTTTATTGTACTTTTCAGGACGTTTGTTCTTTTTTTACCATGAACCTGGGGTTTCCTGTAGGTATTGCCGGTTATCAGCAGGTTGGAGCTGGAGCTGGCGCAGCAGTTGGCACAGCAACTGGGAGGATGACGGCGACGACGATCAGGTGCCGATAGGCCAGTGGAGCAGCTGGGCTTGAAGTGGATGCACATGGTGCTGCGAAACTACTTACAGTTCCGCAATGCTTTTTGGTCCCCATTCTTATTGATCAACTCCCCAAACTGAGCTTCATGTCAACATTAAAACCAGACTAGGAATGGCCCGGAATGGCCCGCTGACATCGCCCGCCCAGGAAACCGCTGGCCATCAGAGCCGCTTTGTCCTGCGCCAGGGCCGGCCCATCCCCCACCATCAAATCCGCGGCCGTCGGAGCCATCATATCCACCAATGCGCCGGACGCCCGCGCCGCCGCCATCCCCGCCGCAAGTCCGGCGCCACCGTCCGCGCCGCCGTCGTCGTCCGCGCCGCGTCACGTCCGTCGTCGAAGCCGCCGCAGTCGTCAGCAGCCTCGGAGCCATCATATCCACCACTGCGCCGGAAGCCCCCGCGGCCGCGCCATTCCCCGCCGCCCCGCGCACCGTCGTCGCCGCCGTCGTCGTCACAGCAGGTGGCAGCAGCACCACCAGAGCCTGCGGTGAGGTGGCTTGGATATGCTTGGATTACCAAAGGATCCAAAAGGTAGGCACATGTGGGCATCATTCCATATCATTACCATCCACAAACGCCCATTGGCCAGGCGCGCCGGCCGGCGGCGATGCTTGAATGCACATTGCCGCTTGTCCATATGATCATGGGGGGCATCGGAGGACGCTTGGTTTGAGATGCACAAATGTGTAACCCATGGTGAATGACCGTTTTGAGATGGAGAATATTTGGGTGAAGTCTTCGTAAGATTTCATGGAAGATTCCGAGCCACAAACTTAATCCCCAATTTTCATTGATTTTCATATTTGATTGTGACAAATTATGCCCCAGGGAGGATGCGGATATGTTGCAGCATACTCTTTCTTCGGTGCCGTAGGTTCAACCAACACAGATTGGTTGATGGCTAGCAAGGCCACCAATTTTGGGTGTGCTGACGTTTCAATGGTGGCACCCACTATGTATGGGAAAGCTATAACATGCTATAACCAGAATTGGCACAGGGAACAAGACGAGAAGCCCTTGATGTGGATGGTAAAAGATGATGGTTTCCCTGCATTTTTGTTGGGAGAAAACTGGTGACTTTCATCGGGAGAAGGCTGGTTCATCAAAGCGTTTTGCAATGTTTTGCAGCATTTCTCGTTGGTGGCTTGGTGGTGGTGGCGCTGCCTCAGCAAGGCTACTTTCTGGCCCATGAGAACGAAGAAACATATGGAGGCAGGCAGACCCAGCTTGATATGAGGAGACGAAGACATATCATTGTGCAGATTGAAATGTGGTTATCTACGGTAGCAATCTCAACATCATTGACCGTAGGAAGGCGCGCCGAATCATGGACGCTACCAAATTTATATGTCACAAACTTTCGGTCACGACGAAGCATATCCTATCAGGATTTCTATGGATTTCTTGGGGCAGCGTCAGATCACTTCTTCGTTGAGTTTGTGGGTACCCTCTGGTTATTTAACATAGTCATGGAAAATGGCCCATTTACAGTGGAATTTCCCATTAAAAATGGTGATTTTCCATAGCTATGTTAGTTTACCAGAAGGTAGAGGCAGTTGCAGCCTCGGTGCAGTTTTGCGCTCAGGCTTTTGTTGCATCGCCTGCGGGAAGTGGTCAAAGGCTGGACTTGAGAAAATCCCACGGTGGACGCAGGGGATGAAATATATGACATCACCATAGAAATCCATAGAATGAGGATGTTGGATATATATTAGTGATGGGATGGGATGGGAGTATAGAATGGGCTTCCCGCAGCCTGTCGGAAATATTTGGTGACCAGAGTTTCTGTTGCCATAAAACGATGAACACTTTTGGTCCTTTTTCTGTTTACTCTCCGGATCCCCATTGACCGAAACATTGCAACTTTTTCAATTTTTGTTACTCCACCCTCCACCCTTTAAATTTTGGAGTTCAAATCCACACATGTGTTGGTTGCTGAGCATTTCCGCAGTCTTGGTTTAGTCCACCTCTATTTTGATCATGTCCCCTGTGGGTTCTCTCGCACCTGAATGCCATTATTGTTACAACCCAGTTGGATATGCTGGATGATCTTGGATGGGTATTACCCGAGTTGGGGGACTTGCGATCACCCTGGTTGGTGACTACCACTTTCATCACTTTCGTGGCTTGGTACTCGAACATGACAATGGGCAAATCGCGACTCGTAGACTATCTTCCTGCGACAAGGGTCGGATTGCCAGAGGGTAGGGATCCCGGCCCCTGGCCTGTTCTTCACCACACCGGTCAGCACAGGAGAACTACAAGAAGAAGACGCACCATGGCAGCTTCTGCAAACGAGAGCCAGCAGAAGGCGACGAATCGTGAAAATCTGAGGCTGCTGGTTGAATGGATGTTAGTGGTGAATAGGGGTCTAGAGAGTCTAGACCCAACCATAATGGATCAGATATTTTTTTGTGCCGACGTCGCCATATGCCGTAATTTAGCCGGAAGAGTTGCCACAGGGGAAGTTGAATGAACCCTCAATACTCTCCGGTAATTTGTTACATAGCTGTGGACAATGGAAACTGGTCCATTTGGTTCCACGATTTACCAATTGAACATGGAGATTTTTCCATACTTACAGTATTATATGTTACAGCATAACTGCATCCGCATAAGTTTAAATTATCAGAGGGTAGATTTTGAAGATAGTTGAAGACTTGAAGATGGCCAAGAAGCCTTTTCCCATCATCATAATCATGGTTCGTGGCGAGACGCCCAGGAGGGAAGATTTATAATATTAACAACCCTCCACTTTTCATCGTCACTGGAGTTAAGACCCTGGGGTATGAGTGTATAAGTGCGATAGAGGGACAAGGATGACTCGGACTAAGGAGCAAATTACGACATTCATGGTACGCCAGTCAGTCGCAGGCCCTTCTATTTTTCCCAAAGCTTCGGGGTTTTCGAATTGATGATAAGTGTTGCTGATATCCCTTACAGCAACTTGCACTTGGCCCAGTGTTCCCAAAAGGACATTTCCGGCGATCAACCCCCAACTTTGATATGTAATTTCATTGCCTTCCACATATCATCCCCATCTTAATTCGACTCCGGGGACGGGGGTGGGGTTAGTCCTTGGACTTCCGACTTCCGCTACCGCTAAGCCGCTAGGGCTGGTCTGAGATGATCGCCGGGCGCTGCCGGGGTCGTCTTTGGAGATGGGTCGAGCTTGGGACCTGCGGGTTTTCCAGTGAACACTTGGGGTTTTGAGAGCCTTCGGGGTGCACCGAGTTCAGAAATGTGGTGAAGGGGAATCACTTTTGTGAGGCTGTGCCGAAAATACATGGGAAATCATGGGAATCATATGCCAAGTGTTTCCTTTGGGGCTGGGTATTATCCAAGATTTGTCATGAGAACTGGGGTGGGGACCTTGCAATGCCAACCAATCTTTCGCCGCTGATATGCGGATGATTTTTCATGATTTTTCTACTGGGTATCTGATATTAGCCATGTAACATGAGAACCAGGAAGATGTTTGTAGATGCTGTAGATGGAGTAAACTTCATCGCTCCTGAATATTATAGTTTTTTGGTACCCATATTGGGGGATGTCAATCAATCTACTACGTAAGGACTTTCATCATGGAATGACCACACCTAAATACCATCTTTTGATCATGGCGCATATGTGTAGCATGCAAGAATGGAACCAACGCGAACGTTTGGAAATTTTAGGTTCCCAAGCGGCCCATAGCCGCAGAGAACATCAATAAGATCTAGGTGCCCATTTTATTGAAGCCCCTCAGCTACGGCTGGGATTGCAAATGGGGCCGAAGCTGATTTGCGTCGACTGCACATGAGCTGCTCATATCCAACAATGGCAGAGGTTGTTGCGCATGTTTAAAATGGTGTTTGAAACCTGAAGCTTCAGGATGTGCTTGATGTGTTGTTTTTGATATCTTTGATGTTGTTTCTTGGGCAAGCTGTATTCCAAAGCTGCGATTCCCTGATTTCAAGACTTTCAAGTGCCTAGTTCGGTCGCCCGACCGATTAGATTAGAATCCCATCCAAGCATCTGGAAGGGCCCACAGAGACAGTCTGGGGTTAACATTTGGACGCCAATCTTGGCAAATGTTGATTGGGTAAGAGGTGAACGTTCATCCATAAAACTTGTCGAGGGATGCGAAAACCCGCCAATGGTCAAGTGGAATCCAATGGCATAGAATCATGGCTTGCAATTCCACCAGGGATTGAAATCGATTTTTTAAGTAATTTGATGAACCACTTACAACATAGCTTCCACTAACATATACCTTGAGAATCAATGATTTTTAGTGGAAAGTAGTCTTCCAACCCTGTATCTGTCAGGGTCTATGTTAGTCGTGGAGCTGGTATAACCATTGATTGGGATTGTGACCTATTCATACCTATTCTACCTACCATGCATCAAGGCTTTATAACCATATATTTCATTCGTTGAGTGTAGTTGAGTCGGTTACGGTTGGTCTGTCCCCAAGCCCCGTGCCCTTTCCGATGACCGTGATGGCCGTTGCTTGCCGACGAGAAAAATAGTAAGGGATTTACATGACTTACCTATCACTGAAATGGTCGGGTTAATCATCATGTAAAAAGCTTTATATAATGCCACTAAACTTGATGCATACCATTCAAACATTAAACTTTCAAGTTTAGGGATTGAACCATGAAACATAGGGATTTAACTTAACCATTAACCATTCGACAGATGACTTGTTGGGAATTTCATCGTCATTTCTAAGGGTTGTGAGCGTAAAAAATAGGGATTTAATGGACATAAACCAGCTTATGGGGAGGGCGCAGTTTAAAAAAACTTAGCTTATGCGGATATCATGGGGGTAGAACAGCGTATGATGGGGTTCATCATAGATGGCTGGCTCAAACACTTAAACTATTTCCATGGAACATATGGAATCATCATCGACAAAAATGGATTGGCTTTCCATGGTTTGGTTAACTTACTGGGGGTTTGCATGCTTGGGCATGCAACCACCAAGCTTGGGATATCAGATACTCCGACATTTCAGGATTGATGGAATGGTCAAGTTGCAGTCATCAACTGTTGGGTTTTTAAGCCAGAGCTGAGGGTTTTCTTTGGGCCATGCTGCGGCTCTGACCGAATCCACTTCGGGGGAACCCCGCCAAAAAACCAACCATTGGGCACTGCTCATGTGGGCGTTAGATAGGGTCATGGAAGCAGCTTGTTTGGACAGAGAATCAATCTGCGCTCAAAGTAGGAGTCTCATGGAAATCATTGGGCAAATATACCTCCAAATATACCCTCTGGTTATTTAACATAGCCATGGGAAAT